AAAATTGTTAAAATATTTTAATATTTTTAATATTTTTTATGATCCTTGGAAGGGTTGTAAACTCCGTTTATATTGTTTTAAACATTCCTAGAGTATATTATATGCAATATACCATGCTAGTATTCATCCAGGCTTACGTTTAGGCTCAACTTAAGTTTAAACATTCCTAGAGTATATTATATGCAATATACCATGCTAGTATTCATCCAGGCTTACGTTTAGGCTCAACTTAAGTTTAAACCCTTAACTTAATTTTAAACTCTTAACTTAAGTTTAAACTCAACTTAAGTTCAAACTTAACTCAACTTAAGTTCAAACTTAGCTAAGGTTTAAGTTTAGCATAAACTTAAGCTTAGCTTCATTTTCAGGCAAGCTTAAGTGTACACTAATCTTATGTTAAGCTAAGCTTAGGTTTAAGCTTGCCCTTAGGCTAAGCTCATTTTAATTATAAGCTTAACTTAATTCCGAGCTTAACTTAATTCTAAGCTTAATTTAAGAGATTTATAAACTGTAAATTAGAATTAAGTGCATGCTTTAATGTTATTAAAGACTATTTGAATGTTTTATGAGACTTTTAATAATTAAAAGTAGTTTTAGATCTTTAATAAATCATGTAAATCCATGCTTAACTACAAACAAAAAATATTTTATCATTATTTTTAAACTTTTAAACGAAAAAAGCGTTTTTGTAAAAAATTAAAATGTGTTTATGGTATTCGAATCAAAACCGCTTTACATAGGGCTGGGCAAAGTTCTGTTAACGGAACGAGGTTAACGAAAATCAACTGAAGAGTCTGTTAACGAACGGATTAGCCATTTTTATAAAAAAAATTAACGGTTGAAAACGAAAACGGAATGGATTTTTAAAACAGTCAATTTCGGAAAAAATTTGCATTAAACTTGTTAAAAACGTGTTTTGATGATTTTGAATGTCTCTTCTCTGTTAACATCCATAACGCTGAGAATAGATCATCAGAATATGATAAATATGTTGGTTTGGATATCTAGATACTTATACTCAGTCGGCAGAAAAGGATAAATATAATTCAACTGCTATAGTGCAGTTAACGATTTGAGAAACCCTTAACGCCGTTAAAACTACAAAAGATCGTTAACGGTCCAGCCATATCATAACCGTTAACACATTTTTTTTCGAGTGTTGAAATAAACCGTTTTGGGCTGTGATGTTTACGATTTCTTTAACTGTTAACAAATTTAATCAATACTGAAAAAGGCCGTTAACGGCTGCACTGTTAACTATTTCTTTAAACGTTAACGGCTGAAACCATTAACAATTGTTGAAAATTTTCCGTTAACGTCGTTAAGTAAATTGAAATCGTTAAAACGGTAAATGCCGTTAACGAAAAGAACGTTCCGGTTTTTAAATTTAAAACTAACGGCTAACTGAAATTTCTCTTTTTTAACAGGTGGAACTACCCGTTAACGAAACGTTAACGATAGTTGGAACGTGCCCAGCCCTAGTTTACATGGTATCATATCATTTTTTCATTATATATTTCAGAAACTAAGAAAGTAATTTTTATCAGTTTTTCATAAATCTTTTGTCGCCATGACTTAAAAAACATTGAAAAAAGAAGAAGAATATCGAGAGCAAAATCGATTAGAATTCATCCTAAAGATGCATCTATTCTTTTCATTGGTCTTTCTCACATCTATGTGCACAGAAATAAACCCATCCCAATTTTTAAAACGAAAAAAAAGTAAGAACAAATTCTAAAAAATCAATTTACAATTTTAATTTCAGGCAAAAAGTGCAGCAAAGAATGTACAGCGTTCAGGAAAAGCGCACCCAGTAAGATATTTAATAATATGTTCAACAAATCAAAAAAACCATACTAAAGTAATTTAATTTAACTTGCACTGTGACATTAAGAATGTGGAATAGAAAGACGGCTTTTTTAGACTCAATTGTTATAATTTAAAATTTGTTAAATGAGCGTAAATTAAAGCTCTATTATTCAGTTTGTTTACATTCATTTATTGCAAAGTTACAATTAGTTAATTTTCAAGCTAAAGGGAAAACTGAGTTTTTAATGTAGTTTTCTTATTCCACAGATAGTTGTATGGCGACCACCATACTAATAATAATAAAAATATAAAGACGAACTGTTTCATGAAATCCTCGAAAGGTGAAAATAAAATCCACATGTCTCGGTAATCTAAGATTCTGGAACAAAAGATACTTCTCGCGCCTTCCTCTTCCTTTATAGACTCCTTATTCATTATGTATTTATGCAGGGAAAACCAGAAACTCTGAAATAGGAAGATGACTTTTAAAATCAAGTGTCGTCTTCCAATTCCATTGTCTTCTGGTTATCACTGTATTTGGAAGCAATACACAAATAGATTCTAAAAAGAGAAAGGCACGTTCGGCATTTTTTAAATTTTTCGTTCGTTTGTTTCGAATTTTTTCAAACCCTTGAAAAATCGTTGGTTCAGAGTAAAAAAGCGGTCGCTTTTTCAAGTTTGTTTAACAAACTTTTAAATTTAGCTAAATGTTTAGGGAAGGAGTACAGTAAAGTGTGTTAAGAAGATAAAAGGGAAAAAAGGAGGACCTGACAGATATGAACTTATAGTCACCCTCGACCTGGTAAATATAAAAAATATTATATAAATGGAATTGAAGTGATCCAAGTCAAATGTTGCAACTCTCTAAATTTGTACGGAGTATGGACGCTACATTCTTTGGTATGAGCTGTTTTAAACAATTTTCTCCTTATATATACGCAACAGATAGAAGTAAGATTAGTAGCGATCACCATCGATAATTTTTCGACGTAAGCCTATACCCTCTTTCATTTTTCGCGAACACTACCTTTAACGTTTTCAACTATAGTGAGTAAATTGGTAAGATAATCTCCGATTGTACAATTTTGTAAAAGGGTCTACAGACTTATTTGTAATCGGATTTTCAAAATTGAAACCATTTTCGATTTCTAAGTACAATTTACGATTCAATAGATCAAGGAAGGACCCAAAAATGTCTTGTTGCTAATGGTGGAAATTTTTAATAAGATTGTAAAAAACTGTAAACCAACAATAAATACAAAATTGTGCAAACGGAGATTACCTTGTACTTTTTACTCGCTCCAGTTGTTTGTTATCTTTAGGAGCCTATTAAATTGTTATTTTAAAATCTACAATCCTAAAATTGGACGCATTGAATTGGAAATTGTACGAAGATATCAAAGATGTTTTCAATCTTGAAAATCCGATAACAAACAAGTCTGTAGAGTGTAGAGTGTAGAGTGTAGAGTGTAGAGTGTAGAGTGTAGAGTGTAGAGTGTAGAGTGTAGAGTGTAGAGTGTAGACCGTAGAGTTTAAACCCTCAAACAAAATTGTACAAACGGAGATTATTTATATTTATACCAAATTTCCTCACTCCAGTTGAAAACTTTAGGAGTCAATAAAATTGTCATTTTAAAATCTACAAGCCTAAATTGTGCAGGGGTAGATTTTAAGTCTCAATCTTGAAAATCCGGTTACAAACGAGTCTGTAGACCCTTATTCCCCGTTTTTTATACACCTTGTATATAAATAGATATAGGGCCTCTCTGTATATGCAGTTATAATTTAAGGTGACCCAATAGATATCTTCTTTCTATATATAATAAAACAAGACATTCGGATGTTCCCTATAGCCGGCCAAATGCCTGGACCAAATGGGCTGAATTTTTTTTTGTGGGCACTCATGCTAGCCTTGGGGTGACATAGGCTAAAAAAATATTTTTTTTGATTTAAATTTTTTTTTCAAATTCTTTTTTTTGCCACAGCACGTGCCCTTTAGCTAGTATATATATCTGAAGGAATATTAACAAATATTCGAATATTTATTGTATCATCGTTTATGTATTTTACCTTTCTTAGGCTGGTCTAAAACTTAATGACGAACAGTTAGCAGAATATAAAGAAGTTTTCATGCTATTCGACAAAGGAATATACAAAATCATAAAAATTAGAAATAGTTAAAAAAATATAAATTAAAAAATATATTACATTGCTGAAAATTAAAGTTTACCCACTCTGTGTTTATTCTATGCGCATGGGTATCGATTCACATTAAATCAAATGTTTTAAGCTTGTTTCTGGCATTCATAAAACTCTCCTACCTTTACTATCCTCTCCACCCACCTTCAAAAGGGTGCACATTTCGTAGTCGAAAAAAAAGGCATTTTATACATACAGCGTTCCGTACGCCCTCCACCTAGAAAAGGCCTGAGAGTAAAGGTTCACAGTTCAATTTTTAAAAGCCTCTTAATCATCCCTTTAGCATCAAAAAATAAATTTTTTGCAATATATTCTTAAAAGTCAAGAAATTTTAAGGTAATGCTCATGCAAAAAATGGAGGACGCCCCCCCCCCCTCCGGCTGTTTAGGGTTAAATAAATTACAGGATTATCCAAAGGACAGAACTTTAAAGACGATATACTCAACTCAACTCAACTCAACTTTTGAACAAGCGCAGGATTATACTTTAATGTAAGGTTAGATATATACATTTAGTAAACGCTTACTCCAAAACAAGTCCTCGAAACGCATCTATCTAGGTACAACCCGTACGCTGTCAGTGTCAACCAGGAGTAGGACACGATCCACACGGCTACAATCCCGTGAATTATCAACGCCACTACCACTGGGCGCGATCTCGTTAGCTATTGGTGTCAATACGGACACTAGCTATTAATGGAGCTCTAAATGCTACACAGGGACACAAGTGTAGCTATAAAACAAGCTATTAATCGAGCTCTTAATGTCACACAGGGGCTATCAAACAAGCACTTAATCGATCTATACCAAATACATGCATAGTCCCGCGAATATGAGGAGGGGGGAGGGGGTCTAAACAAACCTGATGGTGTAAACCTTAGATAATTCAAACTTAGAAAATTTGATATCAAAACTTGAATTATCTAAGGTCTACGAACTTAAAGATATATAGATTAGAAAAACAGAGTTTGTGACAAAGACGATATTCCAACTCCAACCTAATTAATAATTATTTTAGAATATTTGATAAAGACGAGGACGGAAAACTGAGTGTTCCTGAGCTAAAACAAATAATGAGTTCTCTAGGAGAGAAAATGGCCGGCAGGTATTCAAAATAAAAACAAAAAGTTGGATAGTTGTCTTATTTTGTGGGTAAAATATAATTATAATAGTTTTATATAAATGGTTATAGACAGAATACATGATTTCAAGAGACCCTTCATGTATAGAATACCATAACGGTATCCGGTTTCAATATTTGTCTGGTCAAGAGACCCTTCATGTATAGAATACAATAACGGTATCCGGTTTCAATATTTGTCTGGTCAAGAGACCCTTCATGTATAGAGTACCATAACGGTATCCGGTTTCAACATTTTTCTGGTCAAGAGACCCTTCATGTATAGAATACCATAACGGTACCGGTTTCAATATTTGTCTGGTCAAGAGACCCTTCATGTATAGAGTACCATAACGGTACCGGTTTCAACATTTTTCTGGTCAAGAGACCCTTCATGTATAGAGTACCATAACGGTATCCGGTTGAGTACCATAAACGGTACCGGTTTCAATATTTGTCTGGTCAAGAGACCCTTCATGTATAGAATACCATAACGGTACCGGTTTCAATATTTGTCTGGTCAAGAGACCCTTCATATATAGAGTATCATAACGGTATCCGGTTTCAATATTTGTCTGGTCAAGAATAACATAGAAATTTTTCAATTTAAAAATTATTAATTAAAATTTAAAAACTATGTATATACTAGATAGGAAAACGATGATATTTTCCTCAATATTTTTCAGATACTATTGTAAAGCATCATAGCATAATTTTTCTCAAGAAAGTTATGAAATCATTTAAAGTGTAACTGAAGTTTGTACATAACTGTACTTTGTACATAACTGTACTTTGTACATTACTGTACTTTGTACGTAACTGCACTTTGTACATAACTGTAATTTGTACATAAGTGTACTTTGTACATAACTGTACTTTGTACATAACTGTACTTTGTACATAACTGTACTTTGTACATAACTTTACTTTGTACATAACTGTACTATGTACATAACTTTATTTTGTACATAACCGTACTTTGTACATAACTGTACTTTGTACATAATTGAACAGACCCTATTTTATTTTAGAGAGCTTGAGCAGTTGGTCGATGAAGCCGATACGACAAAAGATGGGTTTGTTAATTATGAAGGTAAAGTTATAATTGATTTTGTATTCTTTCTAGAAAGGAAGGGCGACTTTTAATCCGTACACTTTTGCAATACAATCAAACCTTACAAAATATTAAATGTTTTACGATTTCAGATTTTTGCAATGTTCTTGTTGACGACAAAAAAGCGAAGTCTAAAAAGGGAGCTGCAATTAAAGGAAAGCGGCTTGATCACAATAAGAACATTTCCTGATTGGCTGCAATAAACCATTTACAGATCCAATTGGGCCGCCAAATCACTTGATGATCCAATAGGCCCCCCAAATCATTTGATGATCCAAAATGGCCGCCAAATCATTTACAGATCCAATATGGCCATGAAACCATTTCCTGGTCCAATATGGCCGCCAAACCATTTCCTGATCCAATATGGTCGCCAAACCATTTCCTGATTCAAAATGACTGCTTTAACCATTTCCTGATCCAATATGGCCGGCAAACCATCCCCCGATCCAATATGGCCGTCAAATCATTTCCTGATCCAATATGACCACAACAAAATTTACTGATCCACTTTGGTCGCCAAACCATTTCCTGATCTAATACGGCCGCCAAATCATTTAAAGATCCAATATGGCCACCAAATCATTTACTGATCCAATATGGCCACTTAATCATTTCCGGGATCATTTTGTCCACCAAATGACCAAAAATGGTCACTGAACTGTTTGAAAGTATTAAATTCTCGAGCTCAAATTAAGATTATTTTAATGTGGAAAAAAAAACAATTAATATTTTTAATATGCACAAAATAAAAATCGTGGGTTTTACCAAAAACGTGTTGATTAGGGTTATTTTTCATTCTGGACCTTCGGGACATCTATGAGCAAAATGATATGCTTAGTTGTAATATTTGTTTCCAGATTTGGGTTGATTTTGTCCAGTAAAATATATTGTTGAAGCCATTGCAAAATTCACATAAACAACTAATTTTTTTTATCAAAGCCTACTGAAAGCCAAAAACCTAAAATAAAAATTTTTTAAAAAATCAAATGTCCAAATTTATTTATTGCAAGAACATTTATTTGTGAAGAATAACTGTTAAATGTTCAAATATTTGATGACAATCCAAATATTTTTTATGTTTCTCTCTTAGTGCTTTTTGTTCGACATAAATAGTCTTTTATTGCCTTTAATTTTCCGGATAAAAAACTCAATCAGAAAATTGGTATTGGTCTAGAAGTGCTCACTTTCAAAAGTTTCAATGAATTCTTGATAAAAAGTATTGTGTGTTTATTGCTAATCCCTAAAAATGGGGGGAGGGAAGAAATCTTATGAACATTTTTATACCTCCCCAGTTTAAAAACTTATAAAGAATAAGAAAGAATAAGTAGGCCTTAAAAAGTTAGCATTATTGACATGTATTACTTTAAAAGCGCCACCCCCCCCCCCCCCCCACTCTAAATTAGTATAATGATATCCCAACCTAGATAGGGTTAAAGGATTTACAAAAAAAATTGAGGCTCGTAGTTCTGTGGTTCGTGTTTAAAGTATATATTTGTTTCAATGTATCATGTATTCATTGTATTAGTAGTCTGTATGTTACGTATTGTATTATGTATTGTATTTGTAACGTGTGTGTTATGAAGTGTATTTATCATGCTTGCATGAATTATTGTATTATTAATTGTTGTAAGATATGAAACTGCAATAAGTATTCTAGTTTAAGATAGATTTTTATCAAAACATAATTAACAAATGACTTATCGAACTTACCGATAGCATTTTAAGATTTCTAACAGAATGTTAGGGGTTCAGTTATTTGTGAGATATACTTAACATTCTGTTAATAATTTTAAACAAAATGTTCAAATTTGAAAATGCATTTGATATTTCGATCACTAGCTAAACACAAAGCTGGGTGTTCGTGAAACAACAGTACTAGCGCTGCTATAGCTGTGAATTAAACTGGGTGGCTAAATATTGTTTAAAGGGAGTGACCGGCAATGTACGGTAGTTTAACTGAGACTGTAGTATCGTGCAAAAATTGTTTAGGAATCATTGAGACCCAAGAGACGTTTTTACGGTGCATATTTGTTCAGCAAGAGCGTAAATTCAATCTTTAAATCCTGATAGATTGTTCATTTTTGAGAGATGATTTTGAGAAACGGGTTTTAAAAAGTTATTCAATAACGACGACAAATGTCGTAAAAATTTTACAGTAAACTAATTTTTGGTTTAGGAACAGATGGAGAAAATTGAAGCTTACTATTATCATCGAAAATAAGTAATCTTATTCAGTTATTTGTTTCTGTAATGTCTCATTGTTCACAAACATTTTCTGTAGATTTCCAGGATTTTTTTGTGAAAAGACGACATTTGAAGAATCTGAAGAAATCTGCGAACAAATTCATTAAAAATAAGAAATTCAATATACTGATGAAAAAGAAATAATTAATTCTAATATTGATTTATTGAGAAATATGTGCCTAATAATTCTTTAAAAATCGATTCTCAAACGTAACCATCCAAATGGATGATTTTGAGCGTCAACTTTGCCCTGAAACTCATTAATTATACATCATACAACGTTATATATGTCTGAAATGAATCCTAAAAGTTGTCCACTATACTGCATTATCAGTTCAACTACCATACATTGCATGTCACATGATCCCTTTAAATAGCAAATAAGTGAAATAGAACAAGCTATTGATCAAGATGAATATTGTTCAAATAGCAAAAAAGTATAGCAGAACAAGCTATTGATCAAGATGAATATTGTTCAAATAGCAAACAAGTATAGCAGAACAAGCTATTTATCAAGCTGAATATTGTTCAAATAGCAAACAAGTATAGCAGAACAACCTATTTATTAAGATGAATATTGTTCAAATAGCAAACAAGTATAGCAGAACAAGCTATTTATCAAGATGAATATTGTTCAAATATCAAACAAGTATAACAGCACTAGCTATTGTTCAAGGTAGAATATATAGATTTAAGATTAAGCCCGATGGTAGTCAATTAGCAAACTAGTTCTACAGTACTAGTAATTTAAGTAATGACCCGATGGTGGTTAAATAGTGACCTAGTTTAACAGATCTATAAGCAAAAGACAAAGTTGGATGGTGGTCACAAGGAGTATGAAATAGAAGGGCCCGCCCTACCATATGATTATACATGCTTTGTAGACGGTACTCCATTTGTATAAGAAATATTTGTCTTATGTATACAATTACCGCGTATACAATTACCTATTCTGAATATTCCTTATACTTATGGAGTACCCGTCTGCAAAGCATTGTACAATCATATGTTAGGGCGGGCCGCGTCAGTTATATTTCCATTCCCGTTCATACTCCTTGGTAGATCAACAGTACTTTATGATACTTATATGACTTAATTTAATGAATTGGAGTGAAGTAGCTGAACTATCAAATCCTGAATCATCAATTCAAAGGTAAACATACATGAGGATTAAATCGGTGAATCAGGATTTAAACCGGCTGTATCAGGTAGTTCAGCGACCTCTCCAGTTAATAAAATTCGGTCCCTGGTCATTTATTATAATGTGTAAGAAAATCTAAAATTAAATGTTATAAATTATAAATGTAAAAAAAATGGAAATTGTAAATAAATTTAGCCAAGACTGAATCTTTTTATTTTAAGAAAAAAAAAATGATATAATGAAGAGCTGCATATAAATTTGTTTTTGTTGATTTTATTTGATGATTTGATCTAAGGCTTAAAAAATTGTTTTTCGGGGCCTTAACAAGTTTCCGTTAAAAATCCCAAATTTTCATGCCTGAAATTGGTTTAATATTAACGAATTTTTACGGTTTCTATGTTTTTTTAAATTCAATACGTTATTTAACTTGTAACACATATTTTTTTCTTATTTTGATACTTTTCTTAAAGGCGCGTTAAAAAAGGATATATATGCACATTTTTATCATACAAATTTAAAATGATCATAGTCAACTGCACATGAAGGAATGCCGGAAGGGCAACCATGTTTTATTATTCTTTAATTTTAGAAAACATTTTGCTACCTAATACCAATTATTAACCCGAAACATGAGAAAACAAACTTTTTAAATGTTATCTTAGGATTTCCTTTCTTCAGAGAACATGTAATCAGAAGTTAATTGGACCCTAATCATCGTAAATTCAAGTAATCTTCCATTTCACAACGGTACCCTTTAAACCTGTTCATCGAGGAGTATGGAACTCATTATATATATCTCTTAAATGTTGATAAACCATAAATTTCTGCCACTTCTAGAAAGTAAATATTAGAAAAAAAGAATGATGAACGAACGAAATGGATCGTTCAGAGAAATGACAGAATTATCGTTTTTTAAAAACAAACGGAAGAAGAAAACGAGCTAATTAAAATTGTTTGAACGATCTTGTTCTTTTAACAAATTTTGTAAGAGATTTTGAAGAAAAAATCGTTTGTTTTTTCACATATCGATCGATTTTTAAAATTTAATTCTAAAGAACAAGTGTTTCATTTTAACAAAATGACGATTTTCCGAAAAAAAAACTTTTGAAAAAACCATAATTTTGAGAACGAACGAAATCCATTTTTGTTAGAACGATTGAAAAAAACCGAACCAAATGTGCTGCTCAGGAACGAACCAAATGTGCTGCTCAGGAACAAACCAAATGTGCTGCTCAGGAACGAACCAAATGTGCTGCTCAGGAACAAACCAAATGTGCTGCNTAAGATTTGGGTATAATTAAGTCTATTTATATAGTGATAACATGAAATCTGTTAAAGTACATCTATGTTTATTTATTTTCCTATGTTTTAAATGTTAACTCTACTCAGAACTGCGTAAATATTCTTTAGGTTAATAAATACTAATATTGAAAGATAGCACTAATTTTGGTAAACAAAACCAGGAAAACTGCAGAGGAATTATGTCGCAAATTAAATTATACTTAATCAATAAGATGCATTAACTTAATTTGCTGCATCCCTTCTTTGTTCTTTGTACCACAGTCATTTCCCTGTACACGATCAAATAAATAATCTTTAATTTATAAATAACAACAAATAATCTTTTTATAACGCTGGGATAAGGTCAACCCATGGTCGAAGCCAGTCATGCACTGCGATTTAATGGTCTCACGCTCTCAAGCAAAAATCGTTGAGAATTTTGCCAATTACTTCTAAAAAACCAAATCTAACAAGAAGTGCTTTACAGTGCTAAAATGTACATGTAAAGGGCTACAGAAAAGCCTAAGTGAGTTAGAGCGGTAAAATCAAAGCTTAGGGCGTTGCGACACTTCAAAGTCAGCCCTGTCTTAAAAATTGATGAGACTGTTTATAAGGAGGCTGAATCTATGTGATGCATGATGTCCGGGCTCAATGTTTGGTGACTAATTTTCCTAGATGTGCAGACTATGGCTCATTTACTTTTTACAGCACTAGGCTCTTAGGACACTTTGCGCCCATCTTCTGTTTCTACTTTTAATTGTGGCTCTATCTGTAAGCATCTTCTCTTTGTACAATATAAAACAAAAACAAAAGATTTATTAATATGTTTTCGTGCATTTTAAAAATTTACCACAAATCAAAAACTTTTGGAAAATAATATTTGTTGTTTTTAGCATCACCTTCCCTGGGGTCATGTGAAGTCCCAGACAAAATTTAGGCCCGATCATATAAGCCGTTTTGACGTTTATTGGACACAAACGGACAGACAGACAGACAAACGAATATAGATGTTACTTGCATTAGCTAGAACTACATTTCATATAAAGTTATATCTTTCTTTATGAAAAATTAACATATCAAAAATGTATAAAGATTACATAAAGGAATTGAGTCTTTGGAACAAAATCAAATATTTAAACCTCAATATCTTTATAACTCGATGTTGTAAACCTTTGATATGTCAAACTCAGATTATTTGATCTAAGAGAATTCATAGTTTGAAATATCTAAGGTCTGCAACATTTGGTTCCAAAGATATAGTGATTAGAAAATCAGAGTTTGTGGCAAAGACTCAATTCCTTTCCAAGGAATATAACTTAAAAAGTAATTATAGCAAATGTAATCACATAAATTGTAAGTTTATGAAATGTAATTATGCGAAGTGATTTTCTGTTGGATCTGTGTATTACAAAAATGTAACCGCTGCAATAAAGTTCTGAAAAAAAACACTCAACAATTGTCCTGTGGAAAAAAGTCCTTGAAATAAAAAGTTTCTGTAAATTAAGTCCTTCCATTTTATGACTTTATTTTCTAGGACTTTTTTCTGCCTATACAGTTTACAGTGTACAGTATACAGTATACAGTTTACAGTGTACAGTATACAATATACAGTATACAGTATACAGTATAAGTATACAGTATACAGTATACAGTATACAGTATACAGTATACAGTATACAGTATACAGTATTCAGTATACAGTATACAGTATACAGTATACGGTTTACTGTATACAGTATACTGTATACAGTATACAGTATACAGTATACAGTATACAGAATACAGTATACAGTATACAGTATACAGTATACAGTATACAGTATACAGTATACAGTATACAGTATACAGTATACAATATACAGTATGCAGTATACAGTATACAGTATACACTACAGTATGCAGTATACGATATATGCAGTAACTAGTATACAGTATACGGTATACAGAATACAGTATGCGGTATACAGTATACAGTATACAGTATACGGTATATGCAGTATACAGTATACACTACAGTATACAAGATCAGATGTCAAATTATACTAAACCATAATATATATTTATCTGCAGTCTATTAATCTTATTAAATAATTTTCATCTTCATTACATGCGGTCCGGGTAATATCAAAATAAAGATGAAAGTAAACATGTAAAGGGGTGAGACTGTTTTACCAAAAAATCTTATGTCCTTCTTGCATACTATTTAAAAGATTTTTAAAAATTAAAAAATATTTATTTATTATTTATTTATTATCATTATTTATTTATTTATTTATTGAAACCACAGCTTTTTCTTTTAAACCTAGCCCATATTCCTAACCAATCTGGAATCTTTGGATCAAGTTTAGAACGTTCTCGTAGTTCTATCGAGATCCTAAATCAAAATTTGATGCAAATCGGTCAAGGGGTTATTGAAAACAAACAAAAAACAGAGATCATTTTTGTCGTTATATATACTTTGCTTGTCTGTCCGTTTACATCCAATAAACGCAAAACCGATCAATCTCAACAGTTTTGAGGCAACTCAGTCATGCGTGACCCAAAGGAAGGTTTATGAATATAAAAAAAGTCTCGTCAAATTTCAGATTTTTGTAAAATTTTGAAACTTCATGGAAAAATATTTGTAAATCCATGAACTTTTTTGTAATTTTTTTATATTGTACAAACAGAAGATGCTCACAGATAGAGCCACATTGATGTCGCTAGCAATGAACTTTGACATACAAACACTGACCCCGAAGAATATGATTCATTTTTTTAATTTTGAAAAATGTATAATAAATTGCATAACACCATAATCCAACCCCATTATTTCTTTGCCGGTAATTTGATTAATTAGTCCTAGTCAGCTTACTAGTATCTTCTATATTTATATGTTAGCTATGGCTGGCCAAACGGCTGTTAATAAAATAGGTTTTAAAAAGTCGATTTTTTTTAAATTCAAAAGTGAGGGTAACGGTGGGAGTAAATTTTAGTAACCTGGGCAGCACTGGGTTCCCAAGCTAGTATATGTATTAAAGCTCTACGCTCATATATATTTATTTGTATATATATGGTAGTCATATCTGACTGGACGGCTGGACCGAATGGGCTGACATTTTTAAAGAGAACTCTTCTAGAGTTATTCGGAGATATAGGCTCTAAAAAGTTAAAAATACTTAAATCGATTCTGTGTGTGCGTTACTCTGACCGGAACACTAGCTCAAGTCAGCTGGGGTCAAGGATGGATTTGTGAAATTGTGACTCAGTTTATCTCTAACCCTGCCCCTGTGTAAATTGTGAATATTGGCGGCAGAAAATCTACGAAAATAAAAGATTAAAAAATTCGGGAAACTGTTCCAAGTGGACACTTTACAGGGAATATGATTGTGACGGGTCCGCAGCAGGGTTATACTCCAGGATATATTAACTATGATGATCTGGTTGAGGGAGCTCTAGAGGGTGTCGCAGAGCATAGAGCATCAACAAGACAACGGCATCTTAGGTAGAGGTTGAATCTTAAATGTTGCGAATGAGGACAAATTCCTGGAATAGAAAATTTCTACAGTACATTTCTGGCCTTTGAAGTTTTCATCAACCTTTTGTTTACTTTATGTCCAACAAAACCATAACACAAAATGAACTTCAGACTTATCAAAAGTGTAAGATAAGGATAAGTTTTCTATTGTTTATTGAGCCATGCAAGTTACTTTGAAAATGACTCGATCTTACATAAAATATTACACACTGACTATAAAGTATGTACGTCTATATTGTGTCCTAATTGCGTAATCAATGAGATGCAATTTCTGTTCGTTCATGTAAACTGTAAAAATCCTATTCTAAATTGCATAACCTCAACCCCATTATTTTCACTGTTTCCTGAATTCCTGAGAAAGCCAGCAGTTCCTTATTTTTAACAGTATGCAAGGAGAAAAGATAAAAATTCTTTCGAGCATTTTGAAATTGTTACCCGCAAGCAATCTGAGTTAAGAATATATACTTTTTAAACCGGTTTTTATATTTTTATACGTATATGGATAAATGTAGATTACAAAATCTACTACATAACTACTTGCCTTGGTCGATTTTTGATTACTTACCACATAACTTTTATGTAAGAGGATTATCCATTTGGTGTACCGTCCCGGTTTCTCTTATATAGTATGTATATGCACTGGATAGCTTACTCTTGCTGCTTAAAAGTCGTCCCGGTACTTGAAATAAACCGCGGAGTTTACAGTGTTACACCACCATGGCTGAAAACATTAAAGTACCGGATCGGCAGCTATAGCAAGCAGTACAGTACACATTGCACGTAAAGACTTTTGACGGTAAAACAGGACATTACCCTCTCTAGTGAGATTAATGTCCCATTACTCTTATTTGTCTAGTTCTGGAAATGAGGACATTGCTAGCAGCTACTTTGCTACTCAATATGGGACATCCAAGGACAATAGTAGGCATGCCAGTAAGCAGACTAGTAGGCAAACCAGCAGAAGAAACAGCTTTACAACAAATGCTAAAGTAGGTTCCTTATCCAGATATTAATTTAAAAGTTACAGGAAGTACCTAATTCCATTAGTATTAGATTGCATATTGGTGATATTATGATGTTACTCCCCATTTCTTTGATTTTTCCTTGACAAAATAAGTCGCTGTTGTAATCCATTTTCACTATTCGATTTGAATCATTTTAAAATGAAAATTTTGCATATTTAATCAAGCTTTTCAGAAATCTAAAATTTGATGTATGTTGCTTGGTTTTATTTACAAACTTTTTAATTCTTTTCATCAAAGTTCTTCTTTTTTTGCTAACAGTCTCTTTTAACAGACGCCGCGAGAGAATTAATAACTGTAAAGCCAATCTTATTAGATATATCAACCTATACCCTTTATGTTTTGCGAACACTCCCTTTAAAACTGAAAAGGATATTGCTGAAATTAGAATTCAAGGCGAGATTTTATTTTACTTTGAAGATCTCACATTGATTCAATTTATGTTTACTGCACTTAGGTCCTTGTTTACAGAACTCTGTGAATACACCAAATCTAAGTTCAAATCATGAAGTGTTTTCAAAAAAGTTTTTTGAGCTAAAAAGCCTTGGAAAAAAAATTATATTTATTTTAAGTTTGTGATTCCTGTGTCAAAGTTTATTTTTCGTGTTTACGACTTAAATCCTTATTATTAGCATATGATGTAATGTGTTTCCTTTTTAATAATGGAAATTGCACATTCTAACAGATTATTCCTTTTAGCCATGGGATTTCATAGAAAGTGACAAACTTGTATGCAATGTATTTTGTTTTTGTGTATTTTTAACCTTATCACTGCTTTTGGGTGTGTAGAAAAACTGGTAAAGCAAACTATTTTTTAAACCACCCTATATAATTTGACTTACTGCACCGAATCTATTCGGTGCACTAAGTGATAGAGGCCCGTTTAGCTTTTTCATTTCGTTCGTTCATCGTTCGTGAACGACTGTGAACAACCCATTTCGTTCGTAACTTTTTTTTTTTGAACGACACCATCGTTCACGACAAGTTTTGTTTGTTCAAAAACATTGTGCTTGTTTTGTTCAAAAAAAAAAACTATGCCAATGCATGCATGCATACTTGTAGATTCAATATGTTTAGGTGTGTAGTAATAGCTATGTTCAATCAACAATGGCAACGGCAGCAGCTAAAATTGCTCAGGTAAAGAAACGAAAGTTTTAAAAAATGTTCTGAAAAATTAGTTCTAAATATTTTCATTTTTATCAATCATTTTTTAGCTAAAGAAAACTGAGCGGGATGATAATATTGCTAAATACAAAGAACAGAAGAGCTGTGAACAAGTTGTTCAAAACCAGTGCGTTCAGCAAAATGTTCAGCAACAAAATGTTCAGCATCAAAATGTTCAGCAAGAAAGTGTTCAGCAGCAAAGTGTCCAACAACATCAAATTACTCAACATTACGAAAGCACGAATCAACATCACCAACAACAAAGTACTGTTATGAATCAACATCACCAACAACAAAGTACTGTTATGAATAACAGTATCAACATCAGTTCAACCTCATTAGCCAACAGCGAATCGGAATGGAGTCCAACAGCATCTAATATGGAGATTTCTCAACAGCAGCAGTACAACAGCAACAGTGTACAGCAGAACAGCAGTAGTAATAACAACAGCCGGGCAGGCTCTCGGAGGAACAGTTCACAGTTTAGGTCAGTGTACACTGTACACTGTACAAATTAAGGTTTCAAGGGTACAGTCGTGAATCGGACTATATGGCTTTTTAAAGTTCAGACAACATTCTCTTTACGTTTTGAAGAAATTAAGTCTTTGACACAAACTTTGATTTTGTACAGTGAGAACCACAAAACTATGGAATAGGAAGACGACGTTTTTATAACTTTAAAAGTACAAAAAAAATTTAATTGTGCAAGGTTAACAGACCCATTTAACTAAAATTGACTTAATGAGTGTCTAGTAAACTTATTTGTTTTGAAACATCATGATATCCGCTCAAGTGTTGCTATGATATCGTCTTTCTATTACATTGTTTTCTGGTTATCACTGTCATTTCTTTATCTTAGCAACCCAACATCTTAGACCTTGGATATTTAAAACTTTGAATTATGTTAGATAAAATAATCAAAGTTTGAAATTTCAAAGGTCTACAAAGGATATAGGGATCTGAACATTAGAGTTTGTGGCAAAAACTTATTTCTTTTAAACAAAAAATCTGAATTATTGTGAAGGATAAATAACAACAAGGTTATGGTGAATGTTGTAATAAATCTAGACTGAATCGGTTTAAAATTTAAATATCATGATGATTTTCAAATATATGCCTGGAATGCATTTCTTAAATGCAACTTTGCATAGAGGCATGATCCATATAAACATTACTTGCGCATGCGAAGATAATTTTTGATACACTGCAATTCGAAACTGCAATTACAAAGATGTAGCTTAACAAGGCTGGGATAGTAGACCAACTTCTCTTGTATAATCAAAAGCATACTTTAGAAAACTGGTTCAACTATTTATTGGTATTTATAAATTCCAACCTCCGGTTTGCAATTAACCGATAAACCATTCCAATAAGTATGTTTGAAAAAAAGACTTGTTTAAATAACTATTAAATGGGTTCATTTCAAATTTTGACACAATTTTGCGCTTTTATAAATCAGTTATCATTACATCAAGCAAGAGTAATGATAAAATGAGTCATGATAAATCAATATTATTAATAGTATCCAACGTCAATATTTTTATTTTAATCAATATTTTTTTAGTTATCTTTCTTTGCTCCCTGAAGATGGGTCTTATCCACATAGAACTCAACCCATAGGTGAGATACAGTGATACAGTGATATATGATACAGGATACACAGGATATACAGGATGCAGGATATACAGGATACAGGATACAGTATTTAGGATACAGGATACAGGATACGCAGGATACAGGCTGTACAGGATATACAGGATACAGGATACAGGATACAGGATACACAGGATATAGGCTGTACAGGACAAACAGGATACAGGATACAAGATACAGGATACAGGATACAGGATACAGGATACAGGATAAAGGGTACGGGATCGATACAGGATACACAGGATACAGGATACCCAGGATACAGGATATACAGGATACAGGATACAGGATATAAAGGATATACAAGAACAAATCTGAATAATTTTGTAAACCCCTAATTTCTTGAGCCGTAAATTCGGATTAACTACACTAAAGACATTCAAGGATTAAAGCTGAATAATAAATAGGAAAACTAGTTTCAACACTTTTAAGGCATTTTAACTTTAATAATTTATTTTGATTAAGGGGTGTGGGCACAAGCTCATGCATAGAAATAAAACGATATATTAATAAATCTATTTCCAGTTTAATATCAAGGTCTTTCTATTATTTTGTTTTGCTCAAGATCGATTAAAAGTCATGTATCTAAACGTTTTGTGTTGCGTCGTTGTCTTAAACACTTGACCATGGGTAGCCCTATAAACCATAGTGAACACTTATTTTAACCCCGTACAGAACCAAAGAATGATTGTTAAAAAGATTCCTGTTTACAATATTTATATATTTCAAAATACCGATATTTACTAATCGGCTTACGAAGTATTATCCTTAGCTTAGAGAACAACCTTTAATTAGATGGAGTTTTAGATTTTTAGCAGATTTGATTGAAATGTTCAACCATCACGCTTAATGAGTGGAAAAAGAAATGTGTATAGTAATACAAGGGGAGCAGTGAAGGCGGGTAGAGATACTTTTCAAATTTAAAAAATGAAGTATATTTAGCTAGTTTTTAATGGTTTTAAATTTTCACATGTATTTTACAAGGAAAGAAACGGAGTTTTATCTACAAAATAAATTTTGTAATTCTATATCTTTGCAACCGAAAAGTGTAAACCTTGGATATTTCGGACTTACATTTTTTTGATTTAACTGTTTGAAGTTACGACTTTGGGTTGTAAAGATTTAGGGATTAGAAAACCAAATATATAGTTTGTGACATAAACTCAAATCCTTAGAAATAAATTATTTATCCCTATATCTTTAAATATTAAAAATTAGACTACAATTAGAAAACCCCAGAGAAAATATATATTTGTAGATAAACAAAGATAAACAAAAACAAAATAAAAAATATAAAAAAATGGGAAAAATGTAAAATTTGGAAAATGTAAATAATATAACTATTGTTTAGGGGAACCGATGACAAAAAGAACTAGCAGTGCAGCCCCGACTCCAGACAGGTTACAAATATATATAAAGAAGTACTCTCTGTTTGTCTGTCATGTTTGTTTGTATATCCGATCATTACCCCTTGATTGGGTAACTAGTCAGATCAACATCTTTTGGTTTAAAAGTTCTAAATTTATTAAGTTTACTTTCATCGGACAAACTCAAGGTTTTAATGACAAACCTGGCTTCCCAAGCTAGATATATAAATAAAATGTAGATTTTAGCTTTTTGTTTTAAAATTAATTGCACCAAAATTGAAATTTCAATCATTGATCTAAGCGCAATTCCATCAATACAATTCCCAAGTAACAAAAGTTGAGTTAAATCCAAGTTTAATAGGGAGCTGTTTAAGAGTATTTTGATGAAGGATGCAATGGAATTAGTGAGAGATGATTATTGAAATTTTTAATTGATTAACTATTTGAATATTTATTTATAAATTATTCATTTATGTAATTTGTTCTAGGGAAGGTTCTTGGCACCTCGTTAAGATTATATGTAGAAGAGGGATATATATTCATATAATTTGTTGCAGGGAGGTTGGTAGAAAATGGTCCCTGAAATCTAGTCAAGATTATATGTAGAAGAGGGATATATATTCATATAATTTGTTGCAGGGAGGTTGGTAGAAAATGGTCCCTGAAATCTAGTCAAGATTATATGTAGAAGAGGGATATATATTCATATAATTTGTTGCAGGGAGGTTGGTAGAAAATGGTCCCTGACATCTAGTCAAGATTATATGAATAGAACTGGGAAGGGAAATTATGCCGTCCGAAGTAATCCAATTGGTGAGCATAGATTGAATACGATACAAACTTTTTATATATATTTTACATCTTTTAAAGAATTATTGAAACACCCTGTATAATATAAGATATTCATAGTACTTATGGTTCGTAAACAATCCATCTCATTCGTTTCATTCAATCGTTTCAAAAGAAATTATTTTGTTTGTTCTTAAAATTATCGTTGTTTTTTTGTCTATTTTGTTCGTTTTCTCCTTTTGCAATCGTTCACTTAAATCGTTCGTTCAAAGAAATGGTTCTTTAATTAAAAAAATCGATTTTTAAAAGTTTGTTAAAAATCGTTCTTACTAAAAATATCGTTTTAAAAATCTTTCGGAAAATTCAGTAAAACAGCCATAGATGGTTTCAAGTCTGTTCAAGCGAATGATTTAGAAATACTTCTATCAAAATCGTTCCAACAATTTTAAATCTTTCGCTTTTTGCATTCCTTCTTAATTCGTTTTTCATTTCTCTGAACGTTCCAAGTCGGTTTGTCCATCGTTTGTTCACAATAACGATGCCCATCTCTAAGTGTTCATTTCTTGATGCCCATCTCTAAATGTCCATGTCTTGCTGTCCATCGCTTGATGCCCATCTCTAAATATCCATGTCTTGATGTCCATCTCTAAATGTCCATCACGTGATGTCCATCTCTTGATGCCCGTCTCTAAATATCCATATCTTGATACCCATCTCTAAATTTCCATCTCTTAATGCCCATCTCTAAATGTCCATCTCTTGATGCCCATCTCTAAATGTCCATCTCTTGATCCTCATCTCTAAATGTCCATTTTTGATGCCCATCTCTAAAAAATCCATCTCTTGATGTTCATCTCTAAATGCCCATTTCTAAGAAAATTCGATTTTCATTGATTTTTTGAAAATTTTGAAAAACCACGACATTTTCTTTACAATGTGCCCAAGGAGAATATATACACAATTGAACAAGAAGATTGGCGCGAAGCGCCCTAAAACCTAGTATAATAGAATTTGAATATAGTTGGGGTAATTAAGCTACAAAGAATTCTGCATTGGCGCTTATATTCAGCTAAAATATTTCGTTCATATTTTATTGAATTCATCGTCGAAATATACTATGGTAATATCCTCATTCAACCTACTNAAATAATATTTCAAAAAAATTCTAAAAATCTTATCACTGAAGATAAATCACATAATCAATAATCATTGAAGATAATTATTGAAGACATGAAGACAATATAAAATTACTTAAAGGGACTGTAAGCATAATTTTAAGTGACGCTGTTTGAAAAGATGACAATGCCCTAGTTAAATCAGTATGCCAATTGAAAGCTCTGTCTGATTGTGTCTGATCAAGAATAAATTAAATATGCATTTTTTATTATTGAAACTTCTCATTTTTAATTTATTACGGTTTCTGTACAATTTCCATTTCAGAGAATCAATGTAATGTGCATTTTGAATAAAAAACGATTTNAGATCCATAGGATCAAAGATAAGAGATCCTTCATCCGGAAACTGGAAGGTAGTAGATCTATAGGATCAAAGATAACAGATCTTTCATTAGGAAACTGGAAGGTATTAGATCTATAGGATCAGAGATAAGAGATCTTTCATTAGGAAACTGGAAGGTATTAAATCTATAGGATCAGAGATTAAAGATTCTTAAGCAGGAAACTGGAAGGTGAGTATTAGATCTATAGGATCAGAGATTAGATATTCTTCAGTAGGAAACTGGAAGGTAAATATTAGATCTATAGGATCAGAGATAAGAGGTCCTTCAGTAGGAAACTGGAAGGTGAATATTATATCTATAGGATCAGAGATTAGAGATTCTTCAGCAGGAAACTGGAAGGTGAATATTAGATCTATAGGATCAGAGATAAGAGATCCTTCAGCCGGAAACTGGAAGGTGAATATTTTATCCACGATATTGCGTTGCAAAGATAAAGCAATTAGAAAATTAGAGTTTGTGGCCAAAACGAATTTCCTATTTGATACTAAACAATAATTAATATTAATATTAAAACTAAATATTATATAAAAAGGTCTAAAGTCGAAATTTATGAAAAGTGAGAACTCCTTAAACTAGGTTGGGCCTATATTCTTCATTCTTCTTACTTTTCTTTAATGTTATTAAATGTAAATCATTAATAATAAAATTTTTTAAAATATTTGTCCTGTAGGAGCGAAGATCCTCTACTGCTGATGTGAGAGGGAGTGGGATTAGAACTGGAGGAAATCTGATAGAACCCTCAGGGAGACAGATATAGACATTTTTCCTTCAAATTCTAAATATTTAAATGAACTATGGACAAGGCCGTATAAAGGGGCTCAGAGCTTTAACACTTCTCAAATCTGAATCTAAAGAGTGAAGAGCAACAAAATTGTTTGCTATTTTTTTCTAATAGTTTTATTTAAGGAAGAGAAAAAGTGGTATTTGTAAGGTAATTGGTCTGTATAGTGTACCTTTAAAGTATCCAAGAAGCCAAATATTTTGAATTTAAAGTTAAAAGTTTGCCCCCACCCCCGTAGGAGCTCCTAGGGTTTTTCTAGCTTAAAAAGTGTTAAGTTACTATATTTACCTCAATTTTTCTTCATCAAAAATGCGCAAGTCATCTTTGTAGAAGCCACAAATCGCAATTGAAAAAAATTTCCACGCTGATATATGATATCTAATTCATTTTTGAAATTATAACAAGAGAACCGGCCTTGATGATTTGTATTTAACTATTCAAAGGCTCACCAAGAATCTTCACAGTATTGACCAGATAAGGTGTTTAAGGGTACCATTGTGAATCGGGCATTGGTAACTTAATAAGGAGGGTTACTTGAAATATTACTCTTACAGTCCCTTTAGCCAACCTGCATATAAACAATAAATCACCATTCTTTTTAATTTTAAAATTACATATTTGAGAAGAGTAATTTGTTTAAAAAAAACATTGTACTCTGTAGTCTGTACTATAAATGACTATTTAAAGTAAAATCTCGTGTATCAAATTGATTGAATGATGAATGTTTTAAAATAAAATGAAAACGATGTCCATCTCTACACAGGGAAACCTCCGTCAAACTTCTTCATGCCATTCGGTTCATCAGCACAGAACAGCTTTACTAAGAGAAAATCCAGGAAACAAAAAGCATAATTTAAATGACATTTACCTTTTTAAAAATGCTCATTTTAATTCTAATTAATTTTTATAATATTCTGCAAATTCCAAATTTTAAATGAAGATTTCCATGAAAATTTTTCTTAAAGAATCCTAAATGAGGGTTTTTTCCTACTTACAGTGGTAACCAGAAAACATTAGTATATGAAGACGACATTATAGCAATACTTAAGTGAATTTGAATTTGTCACAAAGAAAAATGTTTTGCTTGACACTTATTAAATCGCTAATCTAATCCTTTAACAGAGTTTTCTGGTTATCACTGTTAAAAATGATAATCAAAGTAAAACACAAAATATTCAGATAATGAAAAAAAAAACACGAAATCATCAAGAACTAGTTACGTCACTTTATAACAAATGTTTGTATTTCGTTTCAATTATTTAAAACGTTTGTATGACACACTGTAAACCTGCTAAAGCAAGCTGTACAGTACACATACAGACAATATAAAGCAAAATAGGACTGTACACCAAATAAACAATCCCCTTCCATTCTAGTAAAATTTATATAAGGATTGATTTTCAAGCTTTGTTTAGTAAAACTGTTCAAAGTAGTGAACAGAAGCACGTGAAAAGGGAAAGAAATCGTAGTATCAGCGGACCTTCAGGTAAAAGATGATTTATTAATATTATTTGGTTTTATATTTCTACAGTGTACTTTTTTATTCATCGTAACTATTAAGTATAAAGTAATCATCGTGCTTATAAAGTTCAATTGGTTCCCGGATTTTCTCCAAAATTTAGGATATTTCTAGAATAATTCTGTAAGTTTAAATAATACTAAAATCGTAATTAACTTGTATTTTCTCAGCATCTTTTTTTTGAATTTTTAAATTATATTTCCCCTTGATAAAGAGACAATTTCTGGCCAAAAACTTTTTTTGTTGCGAAACAGAAATAAAAGTTTGTCGACGGGAAAGTAACAAACACGGAAATTTAACTGGGTTTTAGTCAATTATTATCTATAGAAATATTTTTTTTATCTGTCCAAATTTTTCAGGGACTGCTATGCAAAGTTTAAACCAAGCGCTGAACTCTATACAATCAAATACGGTGAGTTAAACTAGTTCTTGTTTAGGGTTGTTAACGTTTTTATTTTTTTTTAACGATCGTTTCGTTTTGGAAACGATGAAGAAAAATCGAAAACGAACCGAAGTTATACATTTCAAGAAAAACATGTACATTTGAAAATTAGTCATTTTTACATAAATGATTTAAAGCCAGGGCTACGGCCTAACCATTTCTGTTTATAGAATACGTATGAGAACAATATCATCTAAAACAAAAATCTATTTTAAATTCTTTTCCAAGCTTTTCCAAAAGGAAAGTATGATATTATCGTAATAAAGGTTAACTATATAAATAAAATAGTTGAGCTGAGAGCGCAGTATTGGTAGAGAAATTTGTTACGATTCATTTGAGACCTTTTAGATGCAAAATTTTTCTCTACAATACTGTGTACTCTCTACTCTGCAACTATGTCTGCGCGGTCACTCCCTTTAAAGCTAAGGATATCGTCTCTGTATTTTCGTTTCAATAGAAGTAAATATTTCCATTTACTGATAGCTCCGAAAAGGATTCATATCCCTAATTGGAAAATGAGATAGATTATAAGATAGATGTTACCGCCATACAATTTCTATTGGTTCAGAATAGACAACAAACACATGACTGAACCCTGATTGGATCAGGCGCTAATGAAATCAGCATACAAGTGTGATCTGAAGTCTCATTCTTTGTGAATAAACCTGAATGTTACCTGGGTTACATGTACAATATATATGTATTTAGGAATCTGAAGTAATCAATGTAACTTTAACTAGAAGACCACGAGATAGAGCTCAATCTTTGCCGAGGTAACCAATATTTTCAAGATTGGTGCCAAAAATTTGTATTGAAAATTAATTTTTACTAGCTGAAGTGCTCGTGGAGATTTAGAAACACATGATAAAATAATTAAACTTGTTTAGTCTATGTTACCCTCGGCTTACTTAAGGGTCAACCCAAAAGAATGTCAGCCATTTGGTACAGCCGTTCAGCCAGCTATAGCTAACATATGTATATTCATTATAAAAATATACAAATATCATATATACATATATAAATATATTTATACACGAGTTGCGAAGATCTTTATTAAATAGACTAGCTGAAGTGCTTGGCGTTGCCCGTGCAATTAATGAAAAATTTATTTTTTTAATTCGATTTTGTTTAACCTATTTTAATTCCAGGGTACCCCAAAAATTTCAGCCAATTCTGGCTGCAGCCGTTTGGCCAGCTAAAGCTAACATATATATATATAAATATTAGAATAGAAAATGTTCTGAACTTATTTTAAGAAGATATATGAATATATACAGGGTGAGTAAAAAAAATGTGATTTGGCCAGCTAAAGCTAACATATATATATATAAATATTAGAATAGAAAATATTCTGAACTTATTTTAAGAAGATATATGAATATATACAGGGTGAGTAAAAAAAGTGTGATTTGCGGCGCCTGGTGCAAAGTTGTAACTTTTTAAAGCAACTCTCCTATCTGGTGTTTTTTCAATATTCTTTTGAAATTTTGATTTTTTTTTTGATATTCCAATGGCCCCAAAAAAAATCCGCGAACCTTTTTTTCTCAAAATCAAAAGTTCAGGAAACTAAAATGTATGTATATATATATATATATTATTTCTATCAAATTCCAAAATTTTATAAAGATCAAATCACAGAATCACAGAAAATTTTCAAAATTGTAGTACGAAAATTCACGATTTTCAGTTCTGGTATAATTTTTGAGGAAAGGTTCTTTAAATCCTTTAGATCCATTCTTCTACGTATATTATTATGTTATAAATATACGTTGTTCAGTTGAAACCTGAAGATCCATTGAAAAGCAACTTTTTCTTAAAAGTTAGACCAGAACTAAAAATTGCGAATTTTGTTTTTACAATTTTGCGAATTTTCTGTGATTCTGTGATTTAATATTTATAAAATATTAAAAAAACACCATGCATGAGAGTTGCACAAAAAAGTACAATTTTGCACCAGACGCCGCTATAATCACATTTTCTTGACAATCCTCAGTGGTCAAAATTCTCTGAACAACTGAAATTCCAAGATTTGTTCATCCCATATTGCGTATTTTAAAAAAACATTACAAACATTCTTTGCAATAATTTTCCTTTTAAATGTATACACATATAAATATGACTATAAAGCAGTAATCAGAGCAGCTTTTTACTTCATATTTACAAATATATATATGAGCATAATAGTAGATACAAATGCTTTCCTTAGGCCGAATTTAAAGAATTTGAGCCGCGGCTTAAATTTGAGACGCAGCTTTAATTTGAGACGCAGCTTTAATTTGAGACGCGGCTCAAATATGATTGTTTCCACTTAAAATTGCATGAAACTTGTCAAGATTAAGGCCGGCGCTCTTTTGAAATCGGTTTTTGGCGAATTTCGGACACGGCTCAAATTCCTTAAATTCGGCCTCTGGAATAAAAAGTTCGCCATGAATACTTTTTATATAAAAAATTGAAATTAAAGTTTACAATGTCTTAAATATTTAGAATTTTGTCTTTTTCTGTGTTTGAGTGAATTTGGATTTGTTTTATGAATAACCTGTAACGGGATATGTTATTTCCTTTTCTATCAATCAGAATCCGCGAAGAATCTAATTTTTACCAAAATTGCGCAAATAGAATTTAGCTGTTAATCATGGGTTTAGGGGCGATGTAGATTAAGCCCAACCCTAGTTCTTATACAAAAGTAGCGACCTCTGGTTATGAATATTTATCTGTATTGTACACTGTACAGCATAAACAATACTTAATTGTATAATATGAATGATATAGACCAAATACTTTTATTCATAATGAAAAACATGACAATAATATGTCACTATTATTACAAATAAGGACAGTATGCAGCTCACATAGATCCAGACTGCTTTAAAAGGCAGTAGCAAAGCATTGGCTTTTGATTTTAAAGTTTATCAATATTTCGGGCTTATATACTTTTAATTCTCGTGTTATAAGTCGCCATTTTATCATCGTTCTCAAAAACAAAAACACATTTTCGTTGATTTTCGTTTTAAATTGGTGGACTTTTTAATAAACAATAATTGTCAACATTTTTCTCATTTTTTACCGTTCATAAACATTCCCTGGGCTCATGTGAGTTGCCAAAACAAATGTTGGCCATATCTTTTTGGGCATTTTGACGTAGTTTGATACAAACATAAAACAGACAGACAAGCAAAGTATACATACATATATTGTCTACTAAGTACTAAAACATGGAAAAAGAAAAAAAATCAACCCAATGGGGAAGGGGGAGGGGGAGGAGCAGGGGGGATTGGGGATATGTTTAAGTTTAACAAAATATCTTTAAATTGGAAAAACATTTACTGCAATTATTTACATTTAAACTTTTTTATCCTTAAGTGCACTAATGACATATTGCACACTTTTAAAGCGAGTGTTCACCTTTTTTAGAAATATAACTTAAACCCCTTTTTCTCAGCTAATTTTAATACTTAATCAATCAATCAATCAATCAATCAATCAATTAATTATATTTAGGGGAAGGGTAAGCAACGAGGAATCAAGTTTTACTGTGTCTTTACCAGGTTCAAGAAGACAATCTAGACAACCCAGGTTAGTGTTTTTTTTACCAGGTTCAAGACAATCTAGACAACCCAGGTTAGTGTTTTTTTTTACCAGGTTCAAGACAATCTAGACAACCCAGGTTAGTGTTTTATTTTACCAGGTTTTAGACAATCTAGACAACCCAGGTTAGTGTTTTATTTTACCAGGTTTAAGACAAACTAGACAACCCAGGTTAGTGTTTTATTTACCAGGTTAAAGACAATCTAGACAACCCAGGTTAGTGTATTATTTTCCAGGTTTAAGACAAACTAGACAACCCAGGTTAGTGTTTTATTTACCAGGTTCAAGATAATCTAGACAACCCAGGTTAGTGTTTTATTTTACCAGGTTCAAGATTATCTAGACAACCCAGGTTAGTGTTTTATTTACCAGGTTCAAGATAATCTAGACAACCCAGGTTAGTGTTTTATTTTATCCGGTTCAAAATAATCTATACACCCTAGACTAGTTATTTTTTACAATTAAATCCTTTTCAACATTTCTTAATTGAAAGAAGAATGAGGACGACAATTATCAAATAGTTTTGCTGGTTACGTCTGACGGTCTATGTACTTATTTCCTGACCTTGTCTAATCTGTACCGATTCTCCTTTTCATAAATAACTTATTCCTAATTGATAACGGAAGCTGTAAAGTAAAGTGGTTGCATAGATACATTTCTATTCAAGATATCAACCTATTTCCGGTTATATTTCCCGTACTTCCGGTCCAGCCAGAAACCAGAATATATGTATGCGTATACAACCTTATTCAACGTATATATAGAAAAAGGCAAGAAAGGAAGAAAAGGTTAAAGAAGGACAAGAAAAGCAGAGGAGTTGGTCACATAGATCCAGACTGCTATTTAAAGTTGCATCATTTTTCCAGGCTGGGTTAACTCAGTATTGTCACAACGTCCTTAGCTTTTAATATTTCCCCAATAACGCAGTTTTACTTTTCTAGCCCTAAATATATTCAGTCCATTAAAACCCTTGTTTTAATCTTTAGTTTTGAGATATAATTGTCAAAATTATCACCAACTTTTGCGATATAGTTTGCAAGCTTTGGGTCACTGTGGGATAGGAAAAAAGGACAGAGATGATAAAGAAAGACTATAAACGCATGAAAAGGACAAACTAAGGATACGTATAAAGTGGATTAAGTTTAAAGGGATGAAAAGTACGAAAAAGCAGATACAATACAGTTAAGGAAAGTCTTAACAGAATAAAAATTAACAAAAACTAAAAATACATGAAAGAAATGACAAAGGTTAGGAGGAGAAAGAAAAAACGAAAGACAGACGGATACAGAAGGTCCTTACTCCCTTATTATTGTTTAGTGTTGAGCCGGATTCTAAGAAATTATCCCGGCACGGTAGTGTCGAAATATTTGATGCAGCCTACAATCTTACAGTTCCAAACATACTCTCTAGGAATCAGAAATTTTTAACAAGCTTAAAAATATTTTTTTTAACTAATTAAATATTAAACTAACTTTAAAACTATCATACCTTCTAATCAGATCAAAGAATTCCTATTAATTAAAAATGTTCCATAAAATGTCTTGCAAAATCGCGATTTGGGACATTTCATCAAAAATAAGGTTTTACTGCAACCACAATATGTAAATTGAATAAATATATAAATCTTTATAGTTTTTATTGAAACATTGTATCTGATAAAGGCATGCTAGCCAGACCAAGCTTGAAGAAGTGCATGCAGATCATTTTTTCTTTCCAGGTACATTATATGCATTGTGGTTCCCAAAATTTTAGAAATTGTTTTAAATAGCTTAATCTTAACTAATTCTTAACAGCGTTTTTGTGATCAAACGATATTTTCAAAACGAACCAAATGTTGAGTGAAAGACGGCGTCGTTTAGAAAATTAAAACGTTGAAAGAACGAATTGTATCAATGAGAAGCTAAAAATATATTGTTTTTAAATCAACGAAAAAAAACATCGTTTTTTTTCTGAACGAACGATTTAAATAAACGAACAGTTTAATTTAACGATCGTTCAGTTAGAAAACAAGTGAACTAGATGGAAAATGCGAACTTATTCATTTTTTTTCTGAAAGATTGAAAAAACTAACGAAATGAGTCGTTAACGGATGATGAACGAACAAATTGAAACCAGCCGATAGTCAGATATTTTACAATATATTTTAGCCGCCTATATAGCTCTTTACCGATATGTGAAAAGAAAAACATGTTATTGGACTCTCAACTCGTCCGCTCTTAATATTTTATATATAATTAAATATTCCCTATTAGTTTTAAAGGTGGTAGGGTTTAGTTTTCATTTTTCCATGTTTATTTAAAGTTAACTCTCCTCACAGTGATTCATGCATGATTCACAGCGGTACCTTTAAACATGTTATCTGCTCAATAATGTGGAAGATATCGAAGTTTTACAAGATTGAAAAGTGTTTTATTCGGACCATATCCTCCATCGTGTCAATGGCAGAACTCCAAAAGTCACTTTTATAAAGATGTGCAACCAAAAATTTATAGATGCCGCTCTATAAGTGTATTGTAGGGACACATTAAACTATGTCTTTAATGCTATATTTGCATGCTTTTATACCCTTCTAAACTGTATACATTTTAGGAGCAGTACAGGATTCTGGTACGGTAACATTACCTCCTCAACCAACTGTACAGCCTTCTGTGCAGTGTATTGCAGTTTCTGTACATAAAAACCCAGGTATATTCATTATCATATAGAAAAGAAAATTATTTTGGAATATATTTTGTAAAGCCGGTGGATGCTTTGTAAAAATTAAAAAAGTCCCCCCCCCCCCCCGCCGGGATATGGAAATTATTAGACTTTATCATGTTTCAAGAATAAAAACATAGTTAATAGAATAAAGTCTAGAATAATGCATTAGATTGTTCTAAAGGATAATAAAGAATACTCTTCTGAAATCCAAAGCTCTCATGCAAAAATATATGAAAATTTTGCCAAATTCTTAAAACTAAAACTAAAAACAAATACGATATAGTTTTTATTTATTATAAAGTTGTCTACATAAAGAGTAGTTTGTTAGTTAGTTGGTCCTTCCTTAGTGAAATAAAATTAAAGGACACGGCGTTTTAACACTCCATAGTAGACTCAGTCATAAAAAATGCTACTTTTTAGAGCAGTCTTATGAAGACTGGACAAATCTTATCAATGCGAATTACTTTGCAAGTTTTGTTTATCATATCACAAGTTTAAATTTTTCTCTTAACTTGCATGTTTAACGGAACTCTCTGTATTTAAATGACGAAAAGTAAGGTAAGGACTGTTTCTGAAAAATTGCAATCTCTGGATCTGACGGATTCAAGGTTTTTGTTAAATAAAGAAGAAAGGCCAATGTACACAAAGATCCAGACCACCTTTTTAACACTTTTTTTTGTAGTCCCAGACATCTACTCTTTAAAACTAAAGATCACTTTTTGTACTTTTGTTTTTAAGATGTAACTGGCAAAATTTTCATAGATTTCGCTTGAGAGCTTGCAATTCCTTAAAGGGAGTGTTTGCGAAAAATGAAAGGGGGTATAGGCTTAATGCAATAAAAAAGCGCTTTTGATCGATACTAATCTTACTTCTATCTGTTGCGTCTATAAGGAGAAAATTGTTATAAACGACTAATACCGAACAACGTAGTGTCCATACAAATTCAGAAAGATGTAACATACGACTTAGACCGTAAACAAATCTATTTGATTTCAAACAAATCATTCAGATATTACAACCTATAGTCACCGATTATTCTTCGCCACATTTGTATATAGTTGATTTTTCATAATATGTTTTGATTTTATTTTTTTAAATAATATTCAGCTTACAACTAGTTTTCGAACATTCCTGGAAAATATGAAAATGTCGTCTTCATTACCAAAAATCCTCGAAACAGGAATAAATGTTTTTATTAGTAACTCTCAGATCATAAGAATTAAAACATAATATGAAAAATCAACTATATACAAATGTGGCGAAAGATAATCGAAGACTATAGGTTGTAATATCTGAATGATTTGTTAGAAATTAAATTAATTTTTTTACGGTCTAAGTCGTATGTTGCATCTTTCTGAATTTGTATGGACACTACGTTCTTCGGTATTAGTTGTTTTTAACAATTTTCTCCTTATAGACGCAACAGATAGAAGTAAGATTAGTAGCGATCAAAAGTGCTTTTTTATCGCATTAAGCCTATACCCCCTTTCATTTTTCGCGAACACTCCCTTTAAGATCTCTAAGACATATGTTAATAAACTATTATATACAAGGAACAATTTAAATTTGAAAAAATTTACTATTCAATGTAAAGAGTTTATGTTAGACCGAGGACTTAGCTGAGATAAAAGTATTTTCAAGTCTTTTTAGATTATTTCTTGGGTTTAAAAATTACCAAAAATCAGTGTTTTTAAAAAGGATGAGAGTGATGGCATAGTTTAGCTCTTGAACCGTAACTCCGAGATTGGATTAAAGATTTTAAGTGACATTTTGAAGATTTTAAGTGATAAATTGAAGAGTTTAATTGACATTTTGATGGTTTTAAGTGACATTTCGAAGAGTTTAAAGTGACATTCCATAGTAAAATGGAATGTCCGATTAACAACGGTACCTTTGTCTGATTAAGACTGAATAAGCTATCTTTGTTTTTCTTTTTGAAACTTAATTATTTTCATTTAAGGTTTCTTTCTTTGTAAATGACTTGTGCATTTCTGCTTACAGAACCTAGTGTATGGGGTTTATATTCAAATTAAAACTACAATCCCTTTAAAATAAAAGTTTGTTGTTGTTACTTTAAAACATATTTTTTTAAATGGAGAATTTTCGAATTTAATAAGAGGTGATAAAGTTAAATTTCTAGGCATATATTTTGCAAATCATGTCATAAATTTAATAAAAAACTCGGAGTAAATAAAAATAACAAAGATGCAAACAGGAAAAGTTTAAAAGGAATGAAAGTCACTTTTTTTGTTTAAAGATGGAAGCGTCTCTACAGTATTCGGTGTCTGTCATATAACTATAATAAAATCTTAAACTATACAACTATACAACTATAATAAAATCTTAAACTATACAACTATACAACTATAATAAAATCTTAAACTTCAAGTCCTTATTAGATATTGAACAAAGACGAATTTCATTCTACTTGGTTATAATTGTATCTATATATATATATACTTTGCTTGTCTTTCTGGCTGTCTGTTTGTTTGTATCCAATATATGTCAAAACGGCTAAACCGATCGGGCTCAAATTTTTTGTGGGACATCACGTGGTCGCATAGAGAACGTTGAAATTTGTTTTTTAAAATCCGCGAAATTTGTTGTTTTTGTTTTTCAATATATACAAAAAGAAAATGTTCGTAATAGAAAATGGGCGGGAAGCGCCCCAGAAGCCGAGTAATGTATATTTTTAAGATAAATATAAATTATTCTCTTAAAATATACTCTCAGACATGACAGGGTTGAACTTGAGCCCTGGGTTTAATATTTTCAATAAACCTTGTCCTCTCTGAAAATACACTGCACCAGGAAACTTAATGAGAAATATTCGGTCAAAATTCAAATTTTGGGGGATTTGTCTAGATGGGGTAGATCCAGCTGCATCAATTTTCAAGACTGAATCAACTTTGAATTGTCGCAATATCTTGGACTGACCCCATGCTAAATCACAAATACTTTTTGGAACCCTATAGACGTATGCTTTGTTAAATGATAAAGCACTTTTTTTAGTTTAAATATTTTAGTAGTGATTGGAAAAATTATCAACGATTTTGGAGTGCGATTCATGTTTCTAAACTTTCCCCATTTAAGCAAGAAATGCGCAAGTTTAACTGTCTCTTAAAAACTGCATATGAAAATTAACAGTTTTAAGAAAAAAAAACATTGATATCTAATTCATGCTTGATCAACAGGAAAAGCTAAGATCACCGTTGTGAATCGGGCATTGCCATCTTTGCGTGGGTGTCATTTGAAATTACGCTTACAGTCCCTTTAAAACGTAGAATAATAAGACATTTTCTTTAATAACATATTTACATATACAGGAGGAGGAGTTGTTGAAGATGGATCTGGGTTTAGTGCAGAGCTCTCTAATCTTACATATACAGGAGGAGGAGTTGTTGACGATGGATCTGGGTTTAGTGCTGAGCTCTCTAATCTTACATATACAGGAGGAGGAGTTGTTGAAGATGGATCTGGGTTTAGTGCAGAGCTCTCTAATCTTACATATACAGGAGGAGGAAGAAATAAACCAGGAACTCACATTAGAGCTTACAAATAAAGTGTTCTGCAGTTCCTTAAAGAATAAAAACAAAACTCAGCAGCTGTATTTGTTTACATTCTTCCCAAAACTCAGCATTTGTATTTGTTTACATTCCTCCCAAGAACAAAACTCAGCAGCTGTTGTTTACATTCCTCCCCAAACTCAGCAGCTGTATTTTTTTTACTTTCCTCCCAAAACTCAGCATCTGTATTTGTTTACATTCCTCCCAAGAACAAAACTCAGCAGCTTATTTGTTTACATTCCTCCCTAAACTCAGCAGCTGTATTTGTTTACATTCCTCCCTAAACTCAGCAGCTGTATGTGTTTACATTCCTCCCAAAAACAAAACTCAGCAGCTGTATTTGTTTACATTCCTCCCTAAACGCAGCAGCTGTATTTGTTTACATTCCTCCCTAAACTCAGCAGCTGTATGTGTTTACATTCCTCCCAAAAACAAAACTCAGAAGCTGTATTTGTTAACATTCCTGCCAAAAAAAAAACTCAGCAGCTGTATTTGTTTACATTCCTCCCAAAAACAAACTCAGCAGCTGTATTTGTTTACATTTCTCCCAAAACTCAGCAGCTGTATTTGTTTACATTACTCCCTAAACTTAGCAGCAGTATTTGTTTACATTCCTCCCTAAACTCAGCAGCTGTATTTGTTTACATTCCTCCCAAAAACAAAAAAAAAATTGTCTTTGCCACAAACTCTGGTTTTCTAATTTCAATGGCTTTGCAAAGATTTTCACCCTCAGTTTGCAAATTATAGGGATTGGAAAATTTAAGTTTGTGGCAACAATTCATTTATTTTATTCGTAAACACAACTATGAAATTTCCTTGTATAGATTCCTTGTTAATTCGTAGGAAAATATTGAGACGAGTCAGCAGTCTCTATCATACCAACAGAAATCTTCTTCAAAATCCTCGAATTCTGTTACACAATCTTCCAGCCAAATTACACAATCTTCCAGCCAAACTACACAATCTTCCCAATCTTCCAGCCAAATTTTGGAATCTTCCCAATCTTCCAGCCAAATTATACAATCTTCCCAATCTTCCAACCAAATTATGGAATCTTCCCAATCTTCCAGCCAAATTATGCAATCTTCCCAATCTTCCAGCCTGAACGCTTCCAACATTCAAGAAACCTCATCAAGAAGTAGAAATGTATCAGGTAATTTATCTATATGGTCTTTATTTTTTTGCAACCTAACGTTGCAAAAATAAGTTATAACAATTTAATGTGGAAATACAAATAACCATTCTGAACATAATGGTAGAGAAAATTTACAAATTGCCATTTCTCTGACAAAATGTTCGAAATTTAGAACAAAATTTTCGTAGTTTAAAACAAAATTTTCGAAGTTTAGAATAAATTTTTGTAATTTTAAACAAAATTTTAGAAGTTTAGAATAAATGTTTGTAATTTTAAACAAAATGTTTGTAGCTAAGAACAAAATGTTCCGCAAAATGTATATTTCTAAAACTTTTATAAAATTACGTATTGCTGTTAATGAGTTAATTGTATAAATTCAACTTAAAAAGAGTGACCGGCTAGACATGGTAGTTGAGCTGAGAGTGCAGCATTGTAAAGACATTTTTTAGGATTCTTTTGAGACCTATTATACGTTTTTACTGTGTATAATTGTTCGTTAAGAGCGCAAATTCGTTTTTTAAAATTCTCCTGGATTGTCCATTACGGAGGCTTGATTTTTAAAATTTATCTTAATCTAATTATTTAATAACGACGACAAAAAAATGTTACAAAAATTATATTCTTAATTATTAGTGATGTATATGTTTTCTGGGACTAAGTAGCTATATGAGAAAACACTAATTAATGACGGGCAGATCTTTAAGTTTAAGAAAAACACCATCAAAAGTTAGTAAAAGTTAGAGATGAGAGGAAAACTGCAGTGAATAATAATTACATCCATTACAACTTTTCACTCAAAGAATATGATTTTTCAATATAGATACAGATTGTTTAGCCAGGTGTCACTATAATTGGTATATCGGCCACTTTAAATATGTATTATGATATCTTTTTAAAAATTATTAATTCCAGGAGAAGGCCGGCTTCTATTTAAAATAATGCTCGCCGGATTCACAACAAATCCTTTACAGCTTTATCTGATTATGATGTGGAAGATATCCACTAATTACTTCTTTTAAAATCACTTTAGGAAGAAATATTATCGAAAATGTCAGAGCGAATTGATGGTTATTATCTCATTTATTCTTGGTATCGTTGTGAATCGGACATGTCACTCTTTTTTTAGTCTTTTTAATTGCATATAGTCCCTTTAAACTACAGGGTGTCCCAATAAACATGGGAATTCAGTGACGAATTCGATATCGTCTTTTCAAATAATTCTTTGATTTAGTATAGTGATACCTACTGAGAAAGCTGTAATCTGTAAGAGTTTCGTCTGCTATGTCCAAATTTTTTTTGTTTATGTTTTGACTGCATACGGTTGTACTTAGTAATACAAGAAAATTGAAGTATACAAAGAGAGTAAACTTGTCCGTCTTCACTGTTCATCTTGCGAAGACATTATAGACACATCTTTGCAGTCTTTTACACTTTTCATAAAATAAACTCTAGCAGATATAATAATATTATGGCTTTTGACATTAGGTATTACACTGCTAATTCATAACAAAGATGACATCGAATTCGTCACTGAATTCCCATGTTTTTTGGGACACCCTGTACTAAAACTTGTTATATTTCAGGTGGTAATGGGACCGTGCTGCAAGGAAACCGATTTAATATCACGAATGGACTCAAAAGGAACAATTTAATCAACAAAAAAAATATACAATTGGACCCCAAAACTCTGTAGGAAGACGAATATTAAACTCAAGTTATGACTTTCAGTGGTCCAAAGTATATGAAACTCGGCCATGGTGTATTGGTAAAAATATTAAAAATGCCGAAGATAGTTTATTGTCGTCTTCATTTTCCACAGTTTTATTGGTTTCACTGTATAGTGTATTTGTCAACAATACAAGCCTTTTCCATATTCTCTCTCCGTCCCCTCCCCCCTTTCTTACATTTGTATTCATGTAAGATCCAATAAGTATGCCCTCTTCTCCCTTTAATGAAAATACTAAGAATTCCTATGATGAAAAGTGAAAATGAAAACTGACCTAAAGGAAACCAGACATCAAAGATTTTTAAAATAAAAAGTTTTTATGAGATTGTTTAACAATGACTAACAGTCTCATTACGTTAGAAATATCAAACTTGTTCTTTCGGTAGAAAATGTCTGGCTTTGCAGCATAAAGTATATAGTAGTAAATAGCATAAAGTATATCGTAGTAAATAAGTTGTGCTCATAACCTAAGTTCACGATATCAAGTACATAATTAGTACTGTGTACACTGTAAATATCAAATAATTGTACTGTGTACTTTACAGATATCAAGTAAATAAGGTGTACTGTACTTTACAGATATCAAGTAAATAAGATGTACTGTATTCTGCAGATATCAAGTAAATAAGATGTACTGTACTCTGCAGATATCAAGTAAATAAGGTGCACTGTACTCAGCACCGCAGATATTAAGTATATAAGGTGCACTGTACTCAGCACCGCAGATATTAAGTAAATAAGGTGTACTGCACTCTGCAGATATTAAGCAAATAAATTTTGCTGTACTTTACAGATATCATGTAAATCAGGTGTATTTTATACTGTAGATATATATCAAGTAAATAGATGTATATTGTATTTTGCAGATATCAAGTTAATAAGATGTACTGCACCCTGCAGATATCAAGTAAATACGGTGTACTGTACTCTACAGAAAAGAAAAGAGAAATATATATATAAACATGAATTAAAATGGACAAGAAAAAAGACAATTAAATATATATATACACGAATTAAAATAAACAAGAAAAAAGATATATATATATTTATAGACACGAATCTCAGTATTAATTCTCTGTTCCCATCAAATAGTTTTTCATTTTATGTTAAAGTTTATATTTTATATCTTATCATACACTTCATACTTTGAAAAGCTTTAGAATTTATCATTTTCATTATACTATACACACTATGTTGTATAGATATTGAGAATTATATTTCCATAGATTTATAACAATACAGATAGAACACTAGATGTCGTCTTTTCAAGATTTAGGGGTTTTTCGTTCACAATAACAATGAGGCAGACACACACGAGCATGCTCTCTTACTGTCTTGTCATTCAACACGTTACTCTTTTGGGCTTCTGCCTCAGGGTTACTGTGAAGGAAACATCCTTAAATCTTGAAAAGACGACATCTGGTGTTCTTTTTGCATAGACTCTTAAATACAATCAAAACAGTAGCTATAAAATTTTCATAACACTGCTTTTTGTGGGCTGGGGGACGGGTAGTTAATTAAAAGATTTGCTATTATTTATTTTTATTGCCTTCGTTTTTATACTAATAGAAACCATAAGTGATTTGAATTAGATAGCTTCACCTTTTCTACAGATTTTTAGTTTGTGCTCTTTTTCTATTTTTTTTTTTCAAAGAACTGTCAATTATCTCTCACAAAAACTTTCAATGATTGTTTTTTTAAGTAGTTAAACATTTTTGGATTCTTTAATTTGACAATTTACAATTCCATTTACTTTATGTCTTTTAAAAACTTTTAGTGCATTTCTGCTTAGGAAATAGCAATAGCAATAGGACTAAGCAAACTTTTTATTTTTCTCAAAAATGGCTAAATAAATCCTAAGTACATAATAAGTTGTTGAAAATTTTGAAAATATTTTTGAAAATTTTATTTCGCTGGGTCTAGAGCTTCTCAAAGGAACAATGACAAAATATATATTTTGTCATATTTCGAGCAATTTTTGTTTTTGCACACACTATAAATATTTGGATTTTTGCAAATATTTAATTTTGTTTGCAGATTTTTGAAGTACCAAGCATCCCAACTTGTNTACATATTTATTGAAGTGTGACGAACTAAAATGAAGGATTGTTTAGCCCCTCCATAAACCTCAAGATTAATGGTAGCAATAGCAAGTAACTTCCCCATTTTCTGTAGAAACAGAAATTCCTCCAGAATTGCAGCCATTAGCACAACAATATCTTACTCCATTGTGTTCATGCCAGATACTACATCCATCACAAGCAGCTCCCCATGTACAAGCCTCATAATCTGGATTCATTGTCGTGGGCTTGCTGGTCGGATCAGGGCCTGGAGATCCACTGCAAATAACTTCAAATCCAAAATCTGAATCCCACTCTTCAAGCCAATCATTCCAATATTCCCAGTCTCTATTCAGCTTGTCAGGGCAGCTGCCTGCTTCTCTGTTCAGAATACCTCCATAATCCTGTCCTATGCTGGGACCAACCATCCACAAATTCAGACTTGTCAGAAAATAGAGGAAATTTCCATTTCCATTAGACTGTTTGTAGACTGGGCGCCCACCTTCTGAAGTTCCAGTTATAACATACAGGCCTAGGCGTTCACCTTGGTATGATTCTGTAAAGCCCATAGAGTCTAAACGTATCTCACTACAGCAAGATGCCATCTCATTGCTCTGCTCCTGTTGCTGAATATTATACTTTTCTCCTAAGGAGCTATGCTCCTTTGAAGCTCCATGGGCCAAGCCCGCTAAGGCAATCAGGAAAAAATAAGATACCATTCCTGGTCAAGTGTAATCTTTTACTGGCTACTTAAATAAAGAAAAAGAAGATAACAGGAAATTGTTTAACAATAAACAAACTGTATCCATGCCATTTATAATACAGTGTTAAAAAATTTTCCATTGTTTTCTTTGGACTGATGAACTGTTACTTGAAAGAAGTTATATAACTATAATCAGAATTATTATACTCATTTATTATTATTCTTTTAACTGCATAAAGCATTTTTATACCTTCTCTGAAATTTAATTAGAAAGACAACATTTTTGAAGATCTTCTAAAAAATCACTTTGTTGGCACTAATTTATTGCCAAGCCGATGAGAGCAAAAACAAACTTTTTTGAGGCCCAACCCTAAAACAGTTGCCCACTGCACATGCAAGATAATTATCATAAAACTTATCCTCATTCTCGGTTCTCTACTCATCTTAGATACTTCTAGGACTGGGCACCTTCTGCATTTGTTTAAGCCGTATATTAACAATAAGTTAAAACTGTAAAGAAAAAAAAGGAGTATTCATTTTATTAATGGTATTTTCAATTATTTTTAAAAGCTATCATTTGTTAACAATGTCAATATTTTTATTGTTAATGGCATAAATTTTTGAAAGTGTTAATTATTTCATGTGAAAATAGCAGGAATAATTTTGAAGACAATATTCAAAAACATCAAAAAATGAAAAGAATCATCAAAATGCATAAAATTCTATAGTTAAAAAAATAGGCTGTGAATAAACAGGAAATGGCGTTTACCAAACATCAAAATACACAAAAAATAATTTTTTGTTTTTAATTTTTTTGACGGACTCTTCCATTAATTTTCAAAAAAACTCGTTTCGTTAACGGAACTTTGCCCAGCCCTAGTTACTTTCTTTTGAAATATTTAAAACTTGTATCCCCATTAGGTTTACATTGTGATTTATTTGAAATTTACGGATTTTAAAACAAATTTAAAAACTGTGGAATATTTAATGGTAGCAATAGCAAGTAACTTCCCCATTTTCTGTAGAAACAGAAATTCCTCCAGAATTGCAGTCATTAGCACAACAATATCTTACTCCATTGTGTTCATGCCAGATACTACATCCATCACAAGCAGCTCCCCATGTGCAAGCCTCATAATTTGGATTCATTGTAGTGGGCTTGCTGGTCGGATCAGGGCCTGGAGATCCACTGCATTTAGCTTCAAAACTGAAGTCAGTTTCCCACTCTTCATACCAATCATTCCAATACTCCCAATCTCTTGTTAGCTGATCAGGACAAGCACCTCCTTCTCTGTTCAGAATACCACCATAATCCTGCCCTACACTTGGTCCCACCATCCAAACATTGTTAGACAATAGATACAGGTGGTTTCCATTTCCGTTTGACTGAGTGTATATTGGGCGTCCTCCCTCGGATGTTCCAGTTTGAACATAAAGACCAAGTCTCTCTCCTTGGTAGGATTCTGTAAATCCAATTGAGTCCAACCTTAACTCTTTACAGCAGGACGCCATATCTTCGGTTAGACCATCTGCCTCAATTTCAATCCCCTTTTCCAAAGAGCTGTGCCCCTTGGGACCCCCGTGGGCCAAGCCCATTAAGGTTACAAACAAGAAAAATGTTTTCATATCAGTTCGAGTGTAGAATATAACTAAAAGATTTGTTTAAACAATCAAAGATAAGATTTAAATCTTTTATAGAAGTAAAAACTGACTTCAAACGTAAATTAATAAAATTAAGAGCAAAAATGTTTTGTTTGTAAACGTAACATTGTTACATTCCTAGCAACTTTTGAGCTAAAAAGGTAAATCAGTTAGTTGTCTGTGCCAATAAAGGAAAAAATATAATTTCTAAATTTACATTTTTTTTACTTTTAAAAATTGTGTTGATTATTTGTCTCACAGAAGTTCCAGAGTCCAATCAGAAGAAAATCTCAACAAACAAAACACAGGAAAACAACAATTAATGTCTAAACTTTGAACTTTGGACCAATTTAAACATTATTTATAAGAAGAGTACAAAACTTGTATCTTCAAGGGAATGTCTGTAAAAAAAGTAAGCGGTTAAAAATTGATTAATTTATCAGATTATTGTTTTCTTTTTCTTTAAAATGATTTGCATACTTTGTATAATTAGGATTGTGTGAGGAGAAAAATACTGATTTTTTTCTATTGCCCCTTTTGGGTTTTTAAAGATAAAAATTGAAGGAACTAAAAATTATTCGGAGAAATTAAAATGATCTTAATGCAAAAATGATGAATTCTCTAAAAAAGGGACTTGCGCATTTCTATTGCAGGAAACCATTATGGGAATTGTCAGAAATAAACAGTTTTAAACCTAGAAAAACGACAATATCTTTTACATCATTGATCAGATAAAGGTTTAAAGGATACTGTTGTGATTCAGGCATTCTTATCTCTGCATGAAGGTAGAGATGGACGCCTTCGGCTTTTTCATTTCTTTCGTTCATCGTTCGTTTACGAACCATTTCCTTTGTTTTCTTAAACCGTTCAAAACTAAAAGATTTCTTTTTTCTCAAAGTTATTGTTCATTTTCCATCTATTTCGTTTGTTTTCTCAATTAACTATAGTTCAGTAAAATCGTACATTCAGTCAGATTGTTCATTCAGAAAAATCATTTTCTTAATAAAATAGTTCGTTGAGTAAAAACATTATCGTTTTTTTCAAAAGTTTGTTGAAACAAATCATTTGTTTAGTTCATTTCTTGTTTTTGTCAAAATCTTTAGAAAAATACTTACGTTCATTCTCAAAAATTTCGTTGGTTGAGATAACGATGCCCATCTCTACTTGGATTATGTTACACTCACATTTACATAGACATCCTGACGCAAAATTACCTAGAATTTGATATAATGGACAGTGAAAAGTAGCTGACCCGCGCAGACATAGTTCAACTACTTCTCTTGTGCACCAGTATAAGCTGAATTAAAAGAAGTGGTTAAACTAGATCTACACCCCACGGGGTCAAACCATGTTTAACTAAGCATTAAATATTGTATCATATATTTAGTAAAGCTCTTCGCTCATATATATATATAGGGTGAGTAAAAAAGGGTGAATAGCGAGATCTTGCACATAATGAATAAATAATTTCTTTGTAATCTCATTTTTGACAAATACATGAAATTTTAGAATTTTTTTATAAGCAATTTGATATACCCTGTAAAAAAAGTCAGCGAAATTATTTTGTACTCAAAATAGAATGAGATGAAAAACAAAAATGCGTAAATATATTATCTCTATTACACCTTAAAATCTTAAAAAGAATAGATCAATAGTTTCGGAGAAAATGTGCGAAATTGAATTAAAAAAATTTGATAATTTTTATTTGTTCTAAATTCATTTTACAATATACATTTTTGAGATAGGTAAAAATGTCTAAATCAGAATGATAGGAAAATATGCAAAAAAGAGCGTATCATTAAAATATTGCGGATTTTCTAAATTTTTATTTCGCCCATTTTCTCCGAAACTACTCATCTGATTTTTTAAAGATTTTTTTTTGTTTTTTACTCATCTAATTTGGAGCAAAAAATAGTTCAGCGGATTTTTTTAATGGTCTATAAGATTACCAATCAAAAAAAATCTAAAATTTCATGCATATTTGTCAAAAATGAGAATAACCCTTAAGAAATGATTCATTATGTGCATGATCTCGATATTCACCTTTTTTGACTCACCCTGTTTATAGATATAAATCAGCTATAGCTGGCCAAACGGATAGGCCGAATGGACTGATTTTTTTAGGAAACCCATGGGTGGGTACCCTCGGGGTAACATATAGGCTAAAAAAAGTTTGAAATTTTTTCAAAATTCGATTTTTTTTAAACAGATTTTTTTTCAAAATTCGATTTTTTTAATTACACGGGGACAGCTAATCCTTAATAATAGAAAGAATTAAGTTGTTGTTTAGCTCAAGATCTGACTGTAGGATCAGCATTCAAGATTTTAGATTCAGCACTTCAACAGTATGCTTCACACCAGCAGAAACAACAAGTGCTTATTTTTATTTAACAAATTTGTTTATTTTTTTATTTTCATATTTTTACAAATTACAATTTTGAAGGGAATATAGTAATTGATAGCTAAATGTTTTTAATTCAGATGAATCATATTTCCCAAAATTGTTTTCTTTCCGCTCTTTCCATTTATTCACTGTATTCAAATATGTTGCATTATCTGCACTCAGAANAGTAATTTGAATTATTTATGTCCATTCTGTGTCCGAATTTAATTAATTAAAGTCGCGTCTCAAATCCCCCAAAAACCGGTTTCAATGAAGCGCCGGCTTAAATCTTGAAAAAATTAATTCAAATTTTAATGAAAAACAACAAAATTTGAGCCGCAGCTTAAATTTAAACCGCGGCTCAAATTCTTTAAATTCGGCCTTAGGATGGACTTAAATATTTTTTTCTTTTGTCTGATTCAAAACAACAAGTATGAACTCATTTCAGAATATCAATGAAGAAGAAATCATTGATTTTTCATTTTGAACACAGATTACTGAACTGTTAACTTTCTTTTTTGTCATTGCTGCATAAATCATTTTGAGAGAGAAAATAGGCATATTNGGTAGGCATATTCAAATATTGGCTTCAGGAAAGGGTACTGTAAATCTTTAAAATTGTGTCTTAGAAACCTATTACAATTGCATTTAATTTGTTAATTAAACTCTACAAAAATAATATGGAAAGAGTTGTCTAAAAATGCCTAAAATATACATTTTTAATTTTGCTCAAAAATAAGATATTGTAATTTTTCAATTACAATTATTTATAAGAAGCCTATAAGTTAAAATAGGTTCATGACCATCGATCGACCGAATAATACAGGAACTATGTTAATATCTTACTTTGTTAAAGGATCAGATAGAATATGTGGCCAAGGTGTCTAGCAGGCAAACTTCAAGGAAGTAAGTTAATAGAAAAATATTTTTTCATCATTTTAAATTACAAGTGTTTTTATTAATTGTTGTTTATTGTGCATTGTTCATGTATGAAACAATGCACAAAATATTTTCTAATCTTTAGAAATTATTATTTTATATCATTTATCTCAGAGCAGAAACCCAGCTCTATCTTCCTTAGTTCTAAAAGAAAGTGAGCTATTGTAATGTATCATTGTGAAACTGCCAAGAATAATAAATATGTTGAGGACACCTAACTAGAGTTTCCAATGAAATTTTCGAAACTCGAAATTCGCGAAATTTTGGCGGAAATGGTATGTTTATCTGGACGTCTTGGACAGCTAACTAGGGTTTCCAATGAAATTTTCGAAACGAACGAACGAACGAAAAAAACCGTTAGTTTTTAAATTTTATAATGAAACGGAGTAGCCGTTTTTGAAAAAAAATTATAGTTGAAAACGGAAACGTAACAGATCAGTTTTTTTAAAAACAGCAACTTTAATTCTTTTTTGTTTCGGCTAAAATTTACTGACAATTAAAATTTTTTTTCTGGAAATTTTAGAGTTTTGGCAAATTTTTAGTTCTACAAAGAATCGATAACGGCTTGCATCATTAACAATTTGACAAACCGCTATTTCTGAACGGCTAATGCCGTTAATTGCAAAAAAAAACCTTAAACGCAAAAAAAACAAAACAAACGTTTGTTCTCACCTTTAAAATTAACAGCTACCTGAAATATTTCTTTTTAACGGTTGGAACTAACCATTAACGAAACGGCTAGAAAAAAGTTGGAACGTGTCTAGTCCTACTTTTCAAAGGCAAATTGAGTAGCTGAAAGAAAATTATTGGCTTCGAATTTAGTAAAAAAACAAGATTTTCAAGATTTTCGAGCAAAAAAAATCGTATTTTTTCCAAAATATTCATTTTTTGTTGATGAATGGCTTATAAAAATGTTTCGAACGAGGTTTAGAGAAAATTTCGAAACCCTACACTACAGCTAACTCAGTAACATTAGAAAATGAATGTTTACAAACCAATTCTCATGAAATCTATCCGAAAGGACATATATGAAAATTTTATAATTTCAACATGGCAGTAATTATATGGGGAGAAAGGTTGTTTTTAGCATGTATTTTCTATTTTGTTCAAAGAATAAAATAATAAAACTTTTAAATAGAACGTGAATATTTGATTATAACAATTTTCTATGTGAAAGAGAGATGTTATCAAATTTAAGCTTAATTGGTCAATTTTAATAAAAAAATTGTAAAACGTAAATTATCATAAACATCAAGCTAAAATGACTAGTTTTATTCACAAAATTATAAAAATTGTCTTCACCCCTGGGCCCTGCCTTATTCAATATGTTTCACTCGGTATATCACCCCCCCCCCCTGCAAAACACCAAGTTATGGCCTTATACACAAACAATACCTTTAAAGGGACTGTAAAAGTAATTTCAAATGACCCTCCAGGCTTCATGCAAATATGTCAATGCCCGATTGACAACGATACCCTTTAAACCTTTACCTAAACAATAAAAATATTGTTCTAATAATCCTAGTTTTCAAAATTAATAACATTGATACTTAATTCATGCTTGAACAACTTGAGCTTGTAAGAGTACTGTTGTGAATCTGACATTGTCATCTTTGCTTGAAGAGTCTCTTAAAATTACGCTTACAGTCCCTTTAGTATTGAATTGATGTACAACTCTGTGCAGATGTTCCCTTGTTCCTGGATCAGGTTGTGAAGATGTAACAACAGTTACTGTATCTCTACCCCCCTCCAGGAACACCAGCAGGATTAACAGTAGAAGAGGCAGCGTAGACATTGGGAAAAGATCCAGGTATTAAATAGATTTTGAGGACTGAAAAAAAATCCAGGTTTTTTTTGGTCACCCTATATGTTAAATTGGTATTTAACGGTTAATGATTGTATAGTTAATGAAATTAGATTGGATGTACAGTGGGGGCCCAAAGAACTGTAGAACTGGAAAACTGAATTTATGCTATCTTGTTTATTTGATGCTGTTAAAAAATGTTATTATATTAACTTAAAAATGGTGTTTATATAAATCTAAGACTACACGGTTGCTGTGTTAAATGTTCATCGGACTATTCAAATTCTAGCTATAACTGAAGTATTACAATCGTTTTATTATTCCACAGTATAATGGGCACCACTGTAATACGATGTTACGTACTTTCCCAAAGGCATTTTCCCAAGTCTGTCCTAGCCGCAGCGCAGGCACCCCCCCCCCCACATTTCAGCATGCGGGGCCCCCGAAATGCCGAACCTAACCTTAAATGTAAATTTGAAAAGTTGCCACTCGGAAAATTGCTACTTGTGAAATTGCACATATTAGAAGTTGCAACTTTTAAATTTTAGATGTTGCCATGCTCGGAAAGTTGCACATTTGGGAAATTGCCACTTTAAAAACTGCACATTTGGGAAGTTGTCACTCGAAAAAATTGCACTTATTAGAAGTGGCAACTTAAAAAATTGCACATTTGTGAAGTTGCTTCATGGTAAAGTACCACTAAAATACTGGTCTCCAATGATCCTCCCCTAAAATACTGGTCTCCAATGGTCCTCCCCTAAAATCTAATAAAAAGAAAATGTTTTCCTCACACACTTGAATAAAAGTTGAATGATTTAGTCTTGAATCATATTGAGTTTTCTTTTCAAATATTTTCTAGTAACTTTCTCTTCAGCTCCTCATAAATCATCCTAACCTAATAATTCAAGTTTCAACAAATTCAAATTTGATTTTAGAAATGTGAAAAATAAGATGTCAAATCTTTATCTTTCGCATAGACTTTTCACCTTCTATGCTCCCAATAGGGATGGTCATTGGGCAGAAATCGAACAGAAATTATGAGAATTAACGTCACATTCTAGAATCAAACGATTAACATAATCCTTTCTTGATATTACGGCAAGATCAACTAAGGTTTAAAAAGGATTTTAATATTAAGAACGAGTCAGAAATGTTCAAACATATTAACACTTTTGATAATAGCAGTTTACAGATACTAGATATCACTCATAGGAACTGAACTTTGATATCTTAAAGTAATTGTAAACTTAGTTTCAAGTAACCTTCTATTTGTGACGTGTCGATCATGTAAGATTCACAATGATAACATTAAAAATTTGTCAGATCAAAACTGAATGAGATATACATCTTTTGCTTTTCATAAAACCCTATAAACATTGTTTGGTCAAATATGAATGAGATATTAATGTTTTTATTTTTGAAATTAAATATCTAGAACTGTGGTTTCTTTCTAAAAATGACTTCAGATTTATGAAACTGGAACAATTTAAATTTTTAGAAAATAAAACTGTTTTCAAACTAGAAAACGATAATATTCTTCAGATTATTTGTCAGATAAAGATAGAAGGTCACTTATATTTATGTAGATTTTCTTGAAATAAAGAACAAATATTTCCAAAACTATAATCTCTTAAGTGTATTTTCATCTATAAAGGATGTATTTTATATTGGGAAAATTACAACTAGGAAAACTCAATTGGAAATTTAAACTTTGGTTTTACATACAGAAACATAAAACTGTTCCCGCATTTCATGGCAATTTATTTATTTTTACAATTACCGAAATGTAGGTATTTAACCATAAAACCTTTTGAAATATTGTCAAGACGACATTTTATAAATTCTTTCGATGTCTCCGAAGTTCAAAATGTTTGGGATATCCCTGACTAACACACACTGTTTACTCGATATTAATATTTTCCACTTTTAAATTGAACCCTGGGATTTACAATTAACGATTCAAAAAAAAAATGGTGGCTGGTGTACAACAAGGTAGGATTAAAGATAAAAAAGTTGTTGTCTCTTTTTCAGACGGAACTCCCTGGATATATTTACAGCTGAGTACAGTGTAAAGATGGCACAAGGGAACAAGGTTGATTCATTGCAACAAAAAACAGCATTCCATATGAAGGTGAGGAATATTATAAAAGAATTCAAATTCTGATTTTCTAATCCCAATATCTTTGCAATGAGAGGTTGTAGACCTTTGATATTTCAAACTATAAATTTTGTTAGATCAAATATGCTAAGCTTGAAATATCAAAGGTTTACACTTAGAAAATGTGTGTTAGTGGCAAAGACTCAATAGCTTTATTGCCATTTCGTCTATTCATCCAACCCTGTTTTTAATTTGAAGTTTTGTAGCTAAAGTTTGTTACAATCGTAGTTTGAAGTTTAAGTTTAAGTTTTGAAGTGTAGCATTTTCTTTTGTAGTATTGAAGTTGTTGCCGTTGACTCGAACTTCACATTTTAATATTAGGAATTCTTTTAATTCGATTCGTCTGTCGTCAAATGTTAAAGATCAAGCGAGACAATTTTAGGCGGCATTAGACGAAATATCTACCCCTGCACTTTGTTTTTGATTCGGTACATCACAAATTTTGACCCTGATAGAAGATGTATGCAAGACCATAAAAACGATGCAGAAACGAACGTGAAAATACGATCGTTTTAGAAAGTTTCAGATCGTTTCTTATTTTTATGATTAGATATTTCAAAGTTTTTAAATGTTGGAAGTTTTTTTTTAAATAAAAAACAAAACTATCGACACAACGATTAACTCTCATTAACCCGCACTGACCTTGTTTAAAAAATGCCAGATAAAATTTTATTTCATCTATTTTCTTTAGGTTGACAATAAGGATGAATCTGATCTTAAACTTTGTGGACGCTGCCATCTTCCAACTCATAAGTAAATAGATAGATAGATAGATAGTTAGATAGATAGATAGATAGATAGATAGATAGATAGATAGATAGATAGATAGATAGATAGATAGATAGATAGATAGATAGATAGATAGTTAAATAGATAGATATATTGATAGATAGATAAATAGATAGATAGATAGAAAGATAGATAGATATATAGATAGATAGATAGATTGTATATAGAATATTTTACAATATTATGGGCAAGAGCTCAAATATATGATAAACACTTTATTTTAAACTTGCCTAGTTCACAAACTTTTTATAGAATTTATAAAAATCCTAGAAAATTTCATCAATTTTCGTATTAAATTGAATCGATCACTGCCTAAAACTCTAAATGAATCGAGTCTTTGTCACAATCTCTGATTTTCTAATACCTATTGCTTTGCAACCCAGTGTAATAGACCTTTTTTCAAACTATAAATTCTGTTAAACTAAATAACCCAAATATGAAATAACTTAGTTTTCCACCATCAGGTTGCAAAGATATAGTAGCAAACTTAAGTTTGTGGAAAAGACTCAATTCCTTTATTGTCCAGCTACATCTTTGGAACCTGGTGAAATGTTTTTTTTAAAAGAATGATCAGTGATCACTCCTGTTTTTTTGTAAAAAATATTTTTCAAACATGCAACTTTGTAGTACTGCGACCTGTACCGAGTACAACAACTTGTTTTGTCCTCGATGCTTGTCCTGGGAGCACTGGGAGGATTCTTGTCCTATTCAGGACCAGGATATTAACTGTTCAAGGTACGTTATTATATTTAGAAGTAGGACTGGGCGTCGTTAACCATGAACAATAATTGTCAAAATGAACGAACGGTGGAACAACCAAATAATCTATTTTCTCGTTAACAATCAACACTTGTTAACGACCAACAACATGTTCTAGAGAAATTAGGTTCTAAATTCCTAGCTACGGGCCTGTATGGAACAGACGAAATTTAGTTTAATGTACTTCATTATCTAAGATGTAATTGTCATAATTTCTATGAAAGTTTATTTTTACCTTTTTATCTTATGAAATATGTTTTAATTTAACATTAACTTGTTTAGATGTAATTATATCGGGCATCTTGAGGAGGTCCATGATGTAACTAACGTTCATCAACGACGTACTTGTGTTGACCACCTGGGCTGGGAACCATTTCAAACATGGTTTTATGAACCGGACTTTAGGAAGATAATCAATTTAAGCTTTTAAAACTGTTTTGAGAGTAAATTGGTCTTAAAAAACAAAGCAAAATCTAAAACACTAAAATCTTGAAAAAGGAGTTGAGTTTTTGCCACAAACTCTGATTTTCTAATTTCTATATCTTTCTAACCCAATGTCGTAGACCTTAGATATTTCAAACTATTAATACTTATAGATAAAATAATCAAAGTTTGAAATATCAAAGGTTTGCACCATCAGGATGCAAAGATATTGGGATCAGAAGATTTGAGTTTGTGGAAAAAACTCAATTCCTTTAAAACCAAGTTTTCAGACAGCCTCTTACAGACAGACTTTAAAGTATCGCAAGATCTTGGCTTTTAATTTTACCTTACCAACTTACTTAGACTTTTTGTAGCTCTTGGCATATTCATTTCAATAAACCAAGGTGCTTGGTTCTAGCTTAGGTTTAAAAGGAGTAATTGGCAAAATACTGCTAGATTTTTGTCTAAGCGCATGCTTATTTGGTTTGGATTAAACAAAGATGTTGTTTTAAATAACTTCGGGTTAAGCTATGAAATTATCAGCCAATCAGCGGCAACTGATTTTTAATAGATTGGGTAAACTTAAACCCATGATCTTATTTCTTATTGCTTTTTGTGATTTTAAAAATCCGAGAAACCTTTTTTCAACATTATTTTCAGAAATACTTTTATTGGACACAAATCAATAATTCTTTGAGAATCAATTTGTATCAAAAGTATGGAGATCAGATCTTATTAGATTAAATGTAGAATTTATTAGAAATTCTTTGGAAATAAATCCATTTCCTGAGATTAATCATCTCAATCCATCATAAAGAATGGGTAGAATTCTATATAAAAAATTATTATTTTTTCACAATTTAAAATATTTCTATAAAGTAAAGATACAATACAATACAATAGTAACTAAGCTCATCATATTGTTTAAAGGGACAGACCGGCTATGTAAGGTAGTCAAACTAACTATGCATTGTTGTGGACAAATTCTTTTGGATTCATTTGAGACATATAATTCGTTTCCACGGTGTATAATTTCTCAGTTTGAGTGCATAGTCGACGTTCAAAATCATGAATTTAGGTGGGTACGTTTTATGAATCGAGTTTTTTTATTATTATTACATAACAATTACGAAAAAAAAAGAAAAAATGATACAGAAAACTAATAAGATGGTTAGAAACATATTTCAACACATTTTCCAAAAGAAATTTATCAATCAACCAATGCTAAAATCAATTATTTCGTTTTCAGCATTATATTAAATTTCTTTTTTTCTATGAATTTATTCGCAGATTTCTACAAATTCTTCAAATGCCGTCTTATCAATAAAAATTCCAAAAAATCTGCAGAAAATCTTTGTGAATAAATGAATAAGATTACTTATTTTCGATGATAAACTTAATTTTTATTTTCTCCACCTGTTCCTAAACAACTAATTAGTTTACTGTAGAATTTTGTTTACATTTTTTGTCGTCGTTATTTAATAATTAACAAAAACAATTCGGAAAACGTATCCACCCAAAAGTACGATATTGAAAGTCGACTGTGCGCTCAAACTCAGTATTTACAGATATAGTTTTATGTCTGGGTAGCAAAGATAAAGAAATTAGAAAAGTAGAGTTTGTGACAAAAATTCAGTTCCTTTAAATTTAAATGGCGTTTAGATATCATTATTTGGTTTTCTTGAAACTGCATTTCTAGCAATCGGGTTTATAGCAATTATATCTGCAGCTGCGTGCATTAAGGCAGGGGAAAATTCTAGTGATGAACTTAAGTTGTCAATAGTTTATGAGAAATATGTAGAAACTTAAGTTATAAGCTGAAAAACAAACCGTTTTATTAATTTTCAGTAATCAACGGCCACTGCAAACCAAGATGTGCACGCTCTCACACAAAAATCAAAATGAGTTTGCGATGTAAAACCAAAGGCCAAGGCTTTGCGAGACTTTAATGTCGAGGCTGCCTAAAAATTTGATGACAAGCTGCATTGATGTCTACAAATAATGTAATAAAAGAATAAATGAATTATCTAGAAACTGGTGGCAAGTAACAGGGTGTGTTGGTGTCCCCCTGTACAGGGTGTATCCTAGAAAATCTGAATGGCGGGTCACCCGTCCCAAGGAAACCCAAAAAAGCCCAGGAAATGTTGGAGGAGTCTCTAAAACGGACAGCGTGGATGATATGATCGCCCAGGTGCTCAACAAACATTAAGTGAGTCTGTTCTGTAGCATTTAACAGAAAATTTATTTTCAGTACAAGCCTTCAAAACTGTCAAACGAGCATGAAATTCTAGCCAAAGCTTTGTTGCATGAATGCATAAGATACTGAAAATATTGCTTTGTAGTTTTAACTTTTACGATTTTATGTTGTCCATTTCCTAAAATATAGCTTGTAAAATGTAGCTTAAAACACTTTCAATCATGTTAAACACATGCAAGAACACATGATAAAACGAAAATTTGTAATTTCACTAAATCTATTTAGAGGGATTTATTGTTTTTGCCACAAATTTTCTAATCCCTGTATCTTTTCAGCTTGATGGTGTAAACTGTTGATTTTTCTAACTTAGATTATTTGATCCAACAGAATTCATAGTTTAGAATATCTAAGGTCTACAACATTGGTTGAAAAAAGGAATCAGAAAATCAGATTGTGTGGCAAAGGCTCAATTCCTTAGTTATGTGAATCATAAATTTATATTAAAAAATTCTACCTTAGTTTCAGGTTCTTAGCCAGCGGAGGGAGTATAAACACTCAGAGAGCGGAGATAGCAGTGGGCGCAGTACACCGCTGCATCTTAAAACATTTAACATCGAAGACGAGAGCGGGCATAAAGCAGGCCGGAAAACACGAACATATTCCGAAACTCTTCGATCCTTAGATGAGGATATTTTAGCAGAGTTGAATGTTGGATCCTAGTTAATTGCATATCGGATATACCCACAAAGGATGAAATCATAATGACTACCTAATATGACGATTTGAAGGTTAAATTTGGTCTTTTCATTTCTATGGGTCTACTGAATGATATTGGAAAAAAATATTAAGAGTAATAATGAATGCAGTAGTTGTAGGAAATAAGTCTTGATAAATTTCGCACAGTTGTCTCAGAAATCTAGATCTTTTGTGGGTAAACCCTGTATTATTATTAAACCCAGGTACGCGCATGCAGCCTCTCCCCAGTCCCCTCATGCCCCTCCCCTTATAAAACTCCTGTTATTTAAATTTCAAATACAAAAATTGTACTTCATGTTTTCCATTTTTTCTAGTTTGTATATTCACTGCAGTAATCTATTAAATTAATATTTATTTTTCATACGATGGTAGGCGATTATATCAATACAATAAAGACGACTTTCTGTTTCAATTTTGTTGTATATCAATCTTTTAAACAGCATGGATACACAAACAGAATGGAAACAAAGAGAAACTGTCAATTATGAGGCTTCTCTTTTATACTTGCAAACTTGTAATTCGAAAAAAAACTTGATAATAAACAAAACTGAGATAAAAAGTCGTCTTCATTATATTGATATTATCGCCTACCACTGTATATGCAGGCTAGAACATAATTTTAGGAAATTTTAGAAAATGTATCGACATTTCTTTTAAATTCAAAAATAATATTCTCAAAATGATGTTATGAAAGGAAAATTTTCAAATTGGTTTCCCATTAAAAAAGTTATTTTTGTTCCGAAAATTTTTATTTTTGTACGGTGAAGAGAATGGCATAGCAATTTCAGATCATTTCCCATCAAAGGGTGCATACCCGATTCACAACAATACCCTTCCAACATATATACCCGATTCACAATAGTACCGGCCCTTCCAACATATATCTGATCAACAATGTGGAAGATATTGTCGTTTTTCAAGCTTGATAAGAATTGATTCCGACAATTTCCTCCCAGGCGCGCAACTAAGGGGGTGGGAAAAGGGGACAAGGCCCCCTAGCCTGAAGAAGGCTTACACCCCCTGTAGGTGGGGGGGGGGGNGAAGTCCTTAACAGGGGTCAATATAACTCCAAAAATAACTAATTTTCTCGAAAATTTGAAAAAAATATTCCCCAAAAATATTTTTTTTAAACCTACATTTTTGAAGCAAACTCCAATTCCACTATAACATTTTTCAATATAATCTAAAATTCTTTTTATTTCTGCCCCCTTTCTTTAAAATATGCCTCCAAACTTGGATTTTAAAAATTTTACTCACAAATTCTTATTCAAATTGACCCATCAGACTTAAATTTGCCCCCTGTTTTTAAACATAATTGTAACCCTTAGTTTTTTAAAATATTTTTAATTTGCACAATTTAATTTCTTATCCCCAAATGTTGACCAAACTGAAGCCCCCCCCCCCCAAACATAAAATTTGCTTCAAAAACAAAAATTTAAGATTTCCGGTTCCCCCGACTAAAAAAAATTGCTCCTTAAAAATAAAACTTGCCCCTAAAATATAGTTTAAAAAAATGTCCCGAACCATTTTGCCCCAAACTGAAAAGAATTCCCCCAAATATAAAAATGTTTCCCCCAAAATATCCTGAATGGTAAGGTCATGAAGGGGAGGGCAAAACAAAATTTGCCCTTGCTAAATGTCTAGTTGCGCCCCTGTTTCCACCACTTTGTTTCTAACTTAGAAATGCACAAGTCACCTTATTGAGAAACCGCAAAATTAAAAGTAATAAACAATTTCAAAGAGGAAATAGTTGATATCCATATTCCACTATAGCTCTGTAAATGGAGGGAGTTACTCGAAAGTACGTATTTCCAATTTAAACCAAAAACCCGCCTTTTGTTAAAACATTTTTGTTCTTTTACACCAAATATATTGTAATTGCATAAAACATGAAATCTAAATTTCCACCCATTATAGTTTGTTGGATTATTTAGGGCATCATTTATCTAAAAATTATTTTGTGTTATGTCTATTAAAAAATATATATTTAACCAAAATTAAACTTTCTTATTTGTACTTTGTATTTAATAAATATTTACAGCTGCTGGTATACAGCTGTTGACTTTAAAAGTCACTATAATAAAATAAAGAGATCTAAAATGGATATTTCTAACATTTATTTAAAAAAACGAGTGTTTTGAAATATTTGCATTTAAGGCGGAGTTAAAATTGGTTGATTTAGAAATTAACAAAGGAATTAATGATGGATATTTGATGGTACTTCATGGGAGTGTTGTAGAGCTTCATGTTGGTGGAGCAGATCAACAGGAACTGGGGCAACAGGGCTTATTCAACCTAGTAGGCAGAGATCGCGGCTTTATCATGCTGGATTTGAGTGATTATGTTGTCTCTGGAAGTGGAGTGCATGATAAACTGGGAACCCTCAGGTAAGCCTGTCTGCTGCTAATCGAGTATCTGCGTCATCATCATAAAGGAGTCAAGAGGCTCCCTGTGTCGGAGCTGTTACTAGTTCAACTGTCCTAACCTGACTGACTGGGATGTGTTATAGAGGGGTGAGGGGGGGAAAGAAGGAGCGAGGGTTACATGTGTGTACTTCATGGCGGAAATGGATCTTGTGTACACACGCATCTTGAGAAAAGGCTACGGCATTTGGGTCGGAAAACTCGTCTTCCTTATATTTCGAATTTGTTTTAACATTACCCCCTACTGGGGTTAAATTAAAATGGGATTTTAATTTAACAAAGGGTAAAACAAATTCGAAACTTTAAAATCCAACCAACCAAGATATAACCCGCCTAGATTTCCATATTTCAAAATGTTGACTTTAAAAGTCACTATAATAAAATAAAGAGATCTAAAATGGATATTTCTAACATTTATTTAAAAATACGAGTGTTTTGAAATATTTGCATTTAAGGCGGAATTAAAATTGGTTGATTTAGAAATTAACAAAGGAATTAATGATGGATATTTGATGGTACTTCATGGGAGTGTTGTAGAGCTTCATGTTGGTGGAGCAGATCAACAGGAACTGGGGCAACAGGGCTTATCCAACCTAGTAGGCAGAGATCACGACTTTATCATGCTGGATTTGAGCGATTATTTTGTCTCTGGAAGTGGAGTGCATGATAAACTGGGAACCCTCGGGTAAGCCTGTCTGCTGCTAATTGAGTATCTGCGTCATCATCATAAAGGAGTCAAGAGGCTCCCTGTGTCGGAGCTGTTACTAGTTCAACTGTCCTAACCTGACTGACAGGGATGTGTTATAGAGGGGTGAGGCGGGGAAAGAAGGAGTGAGGGTTACATGTGTATACTTCATGGCGGAAATGGATCTTGTGTACACACGCATCTTGAGAAAAGGCTACGGCATTTGAGTCGGAAAAATCGTCTTCCTTATATTTCGAATTTGTTTTAACAACAGCATCTTTAAGGTAAACACAAACAAGATTGTTTATGTTTACGTTTCCTGTAGTTTAATTGGTTCAGCAGTATTTTTATATTTTTCTGCTTTTGGATTAATAATTAACAAATAACTGTTTATTGTAATTTACAGTTTAGACCAGTGGAGGAGGTAATGTTATTTTTCATTTCATTCTTCAGGTAAATATATATACAAGAAATGAACTTTCATTTATTTTAAATAAGAAAAGTAACCATTTACTTGATATAAAGAAGCAAAACGTATAAAAATGTTAATGGTATGCATTTAATTTGAGAAGCATTTTTGACAGTTTCCAACTTATAAAGATTTGACGTGACATTTTTTTTGCGAAAAATACTTCAATTGTATTAATTAAACATATTATATCGAAACAATCTATTAAATCTATTGAATAATCTATTAAACTACAATTGATTTAAATTTTCGAAATCTTCAGATTTTCTCTTAATTTCTCCAGGGAGGAACATTGTTCTCCCCTAAAGCTCCAAGGGGAACATATTTTCCAATATTCCCCCCTGAAACTGCCCCTGATTGATCTGTGTGTTGAGGACCGAACGAAGTGCCAACTTTAAATGAATTTCTATTGGAAATTGTTTCTTTTCGTAGACACACAATCATGTTTATAACACTCAGTATAGAGTACAGTGGTCCCCAAAATAAATGGTGAATCCGCTAATTCTTTTTATAAACCCTAATAAAGGGAATCCCTTAAAAATGTCTTATGAGGAAACACTTACATGTGGACGCACAAGTGGGAAACGTTGGAAACTTGGAATACTTTTTCGCTCCTTTAAACAAAACAAGCAGAATAATCATGTCTCAAAAAATCTACATTTTATTATACAGGGTGTCCCACGAAACATGACAATAGCAAGTCGTCTTTGATATTTGAATTTATTTGTGACATTTAGTCTTCTATCTACTTTAACATGTATGATTCTTGAAACAATTATTACATAATTCTCCTAGCCCTGGCATTTCCAATTTCAATATTACCGAAGATATAAAGAGTTTGGTTCAGATTTAAATTTTGTTAAATAAAAGCAAAATTGTCGAAATCTGAACGAAATTGTTCATATCTCGGGCAATATTGAAAGCACAAAAAAGGCAGACCACATTTTGGAAATGGCAGGACTAGGGAAATTTTGTCCTTATTATCTCTAGAAATTTAAACCTCTAAAATTAGGTTGACAAATAAATGCAGCAAATTATATAAAAAATCAAGACGACATTCAAGGCATCTTGCATACTGTCATGTTTCGTGGGACACCCTGTATGTTCGGTTAGTATTTAATATTTATACTAGAGATAGAAAAAGACAATTTTGAAAATGAAAAACTCCTAACACTTAAATTCTATGAGAGTTCCCTCAAACCCCCAATTCTGAACAGCAAACTAATTTTATTTTTATTTATGCTCTTCACTCTTCAGTTTAAGATTTGCAAAGTGTAAGGGGAGGCACTGCCCCCTTGCCCCCCCCCCCTGCATATACACCCTTGTAGTTTAATCATAAAATCTAAAATTAATGAATCTGCATTTAAAAAATGTATAAGGGTAATGTAAAAATTTTCTTGCAGAAAACACCAGGTTTTTCGTATATTGTGTGCACGTATTTTAGCGTTAAAGCTTGAAGATAATCTAATAATATGATAATTTCAAGTTACTCCCTTTTCAAAACAAATTTGGTTTCAGAACAAATTAGAATTCGCTGGAATAACGTAAATGAACACAAAAATGGTGTTAATTAATTTAAATAACGTAATTAATAACGTTTATATCTTTTACCGCTTAAAGTTTGTTTTTAATATTTGTGACAGAAGCAATCTCAAGAACTGACGAGGGTCAACCCAGACCGAAATATATTTTCAATAAATGTGGAACTAACATCTACTTTTTTTTTACTCTACAGAGGTTTGGTCCATCACCATGCACCGAATTTGAAATAGATACAATTTTGTGCGGGTGCTACTTATAAGTGTTAATAAATTATTTATGTAATTTTCTTAAGTGGACTCTCATCAGGCATTCCCTCATAATTAATACTGATCCGGTGTTTAAGCTTCAATTAAGGTGTGAAATATAGAAATGGAAACGTTTTTAAAAAAAATAGCTATATATTTTCAAAGGAACGATCTACATATTGTATTATATAATTGACATATTGATATAAATCATATATTTAAACTTACAGGTAGTAGTGATTAAAGCTTTTTTAATGAAACTTTTTTTAATTATAGAGCTTAAGTGAGATTAATTATATTAAAGTATTTTTTTTATGTGGAAATTCCCCCCCCCTTAGGGGGGCACGCGTACGGGGTCGGCTATACCAGTCCCCCCTTGTACGCCCCCTGAGACCGCTAACTTTAACAGATAGATTTGATCTGCTGGCTTTCATGCAAGGTATACATTAGTTCAATTTTACACTAGTCCAATCGATAAGACACCATTTGAGAGAAAGTTTGTCTGTCTGCTATGTTTGTGCAATGCCCCGCAGTTTTCTTAAGTACGTGTCTCGGACCGGGAGGGGTCGTTTCTTATTAAATTTATTGAACATCTCCTTTTTATTAAGTTCTGGTTGATTTCAGGTCGTATAATTAGTTAGCTATTACCTTAAAGTTGGCGTTGATTTCTTTAAAAATTATTTAATAGTGTTATCGTAATTATTTTTAACATCTTGCAAGTTTTTATGAAATTTGTTGACGTCATAACTCAATAGAAAAATCACAAATCATTTCCAAATTTCGATTTTTGGAACCACCCCCCTCCGCCCGCCCCCTCCTATCAATTTTATACATGACCTTTAATTTTATATTATTTAGTATTATTTTAGGGTTAGGTTAGGTTAAGACAATTTCTGAGCCGAGCGCTGTGGTTAGGACATTTCAGAGGGCCGAGCGCTGTATAAAATTGATAGGATATGGGGGAGGGGGGTTCCAAAAATTGTTCTCTAAGAAATCACCGCTGAACCTTATCGTGCATGCATATTGCATAAATCATAAATCCAAAGTTGCTTACATAATAAATTTTAATGTTTATTGTGGAATTTTTGGAATCTTTATCTGCCTTGTTATAAATACAACCCCCCCCCCCCCCTTCAAGGCAAAGTTAAAGCAGCGCCTGACCTCTTAGCCTTTCTTATGCGCGGTGCTCGGCCCATTAGCCTTTATAGCTCCAGCGCTCGGTCCAGAAATTGTTTAAATCCAACTTAATCCTGGAATTTAATAACATATTTTCAGTACATTTTTTACAGGGGGGGTAGTGGATGGGGTCCGTCCGAGGGTGCTATTTAGTTTGGACTGCTGCCGTTTTATCTATTGACTTATTGATCTATTGGTCGTTTGAACTATTGCACTTGGTACAATGTACCAATAGTTCAAACGATAACATTCTTTGCGCATTTGAACTATTTTTTTGCTCATTTGAACTACAAAAATAAATATATGGTAGATATAATCATACAAAATAGATTAAATAAGTCAGAAAATAGTTAAATTGAGCAAAAAAATAGTTCAAATGTGTAAAAAATAGTTCTAAGGAGCAAAACAATAGTTCAAATGAGCACAATAAAAAGGCCAAATGAGCAATAAAAGGTTCAAATGAGCAATAAAAGGTTCAAATGAGCCAATTAATAGTTCAAATGAGCAAAACAGAAATAAAGTAGTTCAAATGAGCCCAAAAAAGTTCCAATAAGCCATATAATAGCTCAAATGAGCAAAAATATAGTTAAAATGAGCAAAACAATGGTTCAAGTGAACCAAGAAATAGTTCGGTAATTTCCTAGTATACGATTTTTGCACCCCCCCTTTCAATTTTGTACATGGATCTAATGGGTATCACATTGTTATTATTGGTCATATTGCCGCAGAGCCCGGCTCCCTAGCCTCTCCTAGCAGCAGCGCTCGGCCCAGAAAGTGTCTTACTAACCTAAAGATAAAATAATATAAAATGAATATTTTTTTTGTTGAAAATAGTTGAAATTTTGGCCATGTACAAAATTGATAGGAGGGCCCAAAAATTAAATACTAGAACGGACCCAAATTATAGTTCAAATAAGCAAAAAAACATAGCTCTAGGATTGAGCCCATCTCAAACCTCACTTCGATTTTTCTCTCAACAATTCGATTTTTATTATTTCTGTAAGTAAGAATTTTCATTTTGATGGCTTGGATATTTTCAGATTTTCTATTCAACTATTCTCTTGGATACCGGCAATAAAAATGGCGACATCTGGAGATTTCGGAAACCCTCTTCGGAAGTTCAAACTGGTTTTTCTTGGAGAACAAAGTGTTGGGAAAACCTCTCTGATTACAAGATTTATGTACGATAGCTTCGACAATACATATCAGGTATGAATTCGGAATTTAGAAATGTAAAGAAAGCTGTAAATTAGTTTTCATGTAAGAGTATAAACCTTAAAGTTTGTGTTTTATAAATTAATTTGTTCAAACAAGATATTTGTCATGTTTTAATTTTTAATAAAATTAACGTTTTTAAGAAAATTTTTTAGCCAAAATGGTGTGGCCGTTCGGCTACCTTTAGTTAACAAATATATATATGAGCGAAGAGCCTTATTCTGTAGACGAAGAACTGTAAGATTAAAAATAAAACATATGTTTTCCTATTTAGGCAACAATTGGAATAGATTTCTTGTCCAAGACAATGTACCTTGAAGATAGAACGGTTAGACTTCAACTCTGGGACACCGCGGGACAAGAACGGTTCAGGTCGATACTTTCCCGCATTTTTCAAGTAGCAATACTTTTATGTTGGAGGGCTTTTGGGAATTTCCTAGTAAACGATTTTTGGACCCCCCCCCCCCCTCCTTATATCAATTTTGTACAAGGATCTCGTTTGTAAAACAAGGGTGTAATTGGTCATGTCGCCGCAGCGCCCGGCCTCCTAGTCTTTCTTAGCCGCAGCGCTCGGCCCCTGCCTGTCCTAGCCGCACAGCTCGGTCCATAAATTGTCTTAACCTAACTCTAAAATAAAAAAAATAATTTTGCTGAAAATTAGTGGTTTTGTACAAAATTGATAGGAGGGGGGGGGGCGGGGAGGGGTCTAAACATTGTATACTAGGACGGACCCGGGCTTTTATCATTCGTCTGCAGGTTTGAAAGTGTCACATTCTTTATAACTTACCCGGTTGTCCTTTGTACTCTGGGAAAAAAAGAAGAAAGAATTTTCAACTTTTCGTCAGAACTACAGAATCTGAAAACGACGTTAATTGAAGAGTTTGAATTTTTATCTAACATGGAAAAATTTTATTATTTTTAATTAACTTTTTCTGCGAATATGTCGTTAGAAAATGATATGATCAATGATCATATGACCCCAAGTTTGTGTTGTAAAGATGGGGATCAAGCATTGATCTCCAGCATTTGCAGATTAATTTCATTCCTCTCAAAAAAGTTTCGACCTCTAATTTCTGTAAACTTATTTTGGATCCGGATCCGGATCCGCAAAAATTTTTTGACAAAGCAAAATTCAAAATTTGAAGAATTGATTTAAATTGAAAAAATATTTTAGAAATGTCCTGAAGTTGGAGAAAATCCGGGAAACAATCAAACCTTTATAGCACAGTGCAATGATATACAGCTAATTAAACATTATGGCACGATGATTACTTTTTATCACAATGATAAATTTATATCATGTCAATAATAAAATCCACTATGAAGTGATCATGAGTGATAAAGGACACAAAAGTAACATAAAAATTGTTGTAGGTCCCTGATTCCGTCTTATATCCGTGACAGTACGGTTGCTGTAGTTGTGTATGATATCACCAATGCTAACTCATTCCACCAGGTAACATAAACAGGGATGGAATTTAATGAATTTGGAAGTGGTTGCTGAACTACCTATTGCCGGTTCCAACCCTGAGTTATAGATTCAAAAATAAATATTTATGAGGATTTGAATTGGTGATCTAGGATTCGAACCGGCAGTAGGTAATTCATAAAATTTGGTCTATGGGTTATATATTTATTTGATATGTTGATCAAACATTAAACATTGAACATTGAACAGGGGTATATTTTCTTGAAAAATCATTCCTCCATTCTGAACTTTTTTTTTTCAGGTGTCGGGCATGTTTTTTTTTGAGTTTTATGCGTTTAAATGGAGAAAAATTAATTTCTTGTTTTGATACAAACGAATTTTTGAGATAGTTTCAAAATGTCCCATTTGATGTCCATTTTGTCATTTTTATTCCAGTGCATCACATCGTTTTTATCTTTATATAATTGTTTTGATCCTTCAGTATAGTCGTGAAATTATAATAACTGAGCTTTAAACTTTTGAAATATGAACCAGTGTTATTCTCTCGAGTTTTACCAATCTTATATCAGTCTGAGCATCGGATTTTTCTAATAAGAAATAATGCCGCGATGAGGAAATGAATAAATCTTTTTTTTCTTTTTCTTTTTTATTCAAAAGTTTCCAGGTCTTAATTTTCTATTTTTTTCTAGACATCTAAGTGGATTGATGATGTACGAACTGAACGTGGATCTGATGTTATCATAATGTTGGTGGGAAATAAAACTGATCTATCGGATAAACGACAAGTTTCCACTGATGAGGGGGAAAGAAAGGTAAACTGTAAACTGAACTGATCTATCGGATAAACGACAAGTTTCCACTGATGAGGGTTAAAGGAAGGTAAACTTTAAAGTAAACTGATCTATCGGATAAACGACAGGTTTCCACTGATGAGAGGACAAGGAAGGTAAACTTTAAACTAAACCGATCTATCGGATAAAGGACAAGGTAAACAACAAACGAACAATAATATGGGTTAATTTCTTTTAGAAGGCCGGACCCACAGTTCAATGTGTTCAATCAATATTATGCTAAGCAGCGAAATGTATAATGTATATCAAGATCATATATTATCAGTCATGTCACCTATCATTGGTTTTATTATTAAATCATAATAATCTTCAACAAACAAATTCTTATTTAAGCCATCTATAACATTGCAAATAACTAATTTTAAGGGACAGCTTCAAAATTTTATTATTCCCTGGATTACATATTTAAAAGTACAATATTTCATATTCCTGGACGTTTCTGAACCCTCCTTTTACAGTGTAAACCTTTAAATTCCAAATATTTATTGCAATTTCAATTTATTAAGAAAAAATGTGCAAAAACAAAAAGTGCGCGTCATATGATAAATTATACATTTTTGAAAAGCCCTTGCCACTGCATATTTAAATATGCCAAAATATTTGCAAAATTTTCTGAAACAAAATTTTTATTCAAGAAAAACTAAAAATGTGCAAATCCTCTTTAAAGGCATCTGTGCAAAAATCCTTTAAGTTTAAGGCTTTATAAAGAGCTATATAATGTCGAAATCCAATGATCGGAAATGGGTCTATATATAGATTTAGTCTAGTAAAGGTAAAATAAGGCGTCAAAGCTAGAAAAGTAAAAAAAATTTAATAGATTTTGAGTTATTTCCAAAAAACGTCAGGGGGATCCCTGGGACTACCCCCCCAGCCGGAATAGGGTTAACAGGCATACCAACTTTAGTATAATCGGCCAATTTAGATAACTAGCCTTAGATTGTGAACATGTTCTCTTTCTGTACATCGTAAAACAAAACAAAAATAATTCGCGGATTTTCAAAATTTTCAAAAATTTAATGACGATCGAATTTTGATGGAGACAAATATTTGAAATTTTGATCATTCATAAACCTTCCCTGTGGTCGCGTGATGTCCCACAAAAAATTTGGGCCCGATCGGTTCAGCCGTTTTGACGTTTATTGGATACAAACAAACAGACAGACAAGCCAAATTTATATATAGATAACACCGGATAGTCTTGAAGTATCTAAAGTATTTATTGAGATTACTGAATTCTCATCATTTTTTAATATAAACATGTCAATACTTCAGGCTTCTAGTCGAAAACTTTGAACGATCTCCAACAATTGTGTGTAATTGTGATAAAATCTAAACTTAATTTTGTTCCTAGGCAAAAGAATTGAACGTGATGTTTATTGAGACGAGTGCAAAGGCCGGATACAACGTGAAGCAGCTGTTCAGGCGCGTTGCCGCGGCACTTCCCGGCATGGAGTCAGCTGAACCAAAGAAAGACGACATGACCGAAGTTATCCTGAAGGACACTCCTATTCCAACCCAGAACATGGAGTCTGGTTGCTCATGTTAATAGGAATAAAAAAGTATTCAAACCACTGAACGGCCATGTTTAAGACTTGGGATATGCGCGATTTCAATTTCCCTTCAGATTAAAATTGTGAAACTAGGCGTTTCTGTTGCCAGATTATAACTTGAAATCGAAAATTCAGATCCAAGGACCTGAATATTAAATTTTCAGAACAATTTAAATCTTATTAACGGCCAGATTTGATATTTACTTCTGAAGAAAGTTATTGCTAGAAATTCTGTAATAATTCCAAATTTTCAATTTAAATTGTATTTCTTGCTTTAAAATGCATTTTGAAAAGCCATAAAAACTAATATTTTGGGACTTCTTCCTGGTTTAAATTGCTAACATATAACTCAATTTTTATCTTGTTTGGGAAACTATTTATAATTTCTCAACTTAAAAGTGTCTAGAATGTTGAATTTGACCCCCCACCCTGCGTGAATTATGTGTGATTTGTATGGCTAGTTTTTTAATAATTTTACCCAGTTTACGAGAATAGAAGTATTTATGATTAATTATAATATGTAATTTATGATTTTTTAATTAATGCGTAGAGATTTAAATGAGCAACTGTATAAAAAATACAAAATGCATTCATGTACAAATTGTACGGTTTAACTGTATTGCACCTTGTAGAGAAAGAGTTGTAGTAAGATAGAGATCAAATTTTAGTTTTCATTATTTTCTAAGAATGCTTTTTAAATGAGACTAGGTAAGTTCAGATTAATTATTTAGGAAACTTCTTAACTCTGAACAGTTTTGAGTTATTTTTTACATTTGTACAGAAAATACAAATTAGTTCTTTTCTACTCGCTACTGTTTCAAAAACTATTCAATTGTATTCAAAATACCTTAAATAATTATTACTCTTAAGATTTAAGAATCTATAAAAACTACGAAGGCAGTCTGGATGCATTGAATTGAAAAGAAAAACATTCCAAGCTTCTGTAATCTAATTGGGTTTTATTAAATTAGCTCAATAAACTTTGATCCTTCAACGTTACCAAACTCAAAACCACTTCAATTGGTTGTAATACTAGCTTTTTATCGTATTTTTATGAATTTATTTACGTATATCCAAAGCGTTTTTCAAGCACTTTTCTCGTTGCTTAGATAGCAATATGCAACTTAGATGTAGAAATATTTATTTCACTTTATTTCAGATCATAAATATGAATAAGGATTTTTAAAATGCCCGCCAATTTTAATGGTTGATTAAGAGCTGGTTGGTGTTTAGTTCAATAAAGGACGGGAGCGAAATGAATTCTCATGCAGAGCAACTGCAGAATCTAAATATAAACAGAAGAATTGTGAACCATGTTCAACTGATAGAACACGTGGAATCTGGGAATCAGCTGATTGATCATGTTGCTGTAGAGAAGCAGCTGATGACCCCTGTATGTGGGGAGGATCAAATGATGGACCATGTAGATGGACACACATTGAGCACTGTCCCTCTGACAGTAGGATGCCCAGATCCTTCAATGCTTTCCAATATTTTCCAGGTTTAAATATTCAAACTCTTTAAAATGTACATGAAACTGTACATGTTTACTAGGGCTGTTCATTTTTACGGTCAATTTGTACAAACATGCAAAGACGCCAAAGAGTTAAAAAATTTAAAATGTAAAAAAAAAACTACTGATTGTTCCAATCGACTGAAATTTTAACATTTCATTATGCCCACCCCAAGTTTAGTTATCGACATGCATATCACTTACTAAAGAGTTCAGAATGTATACATAAAAAAATTAAAATCCTGAAGATGGTGTCGAGATATATCATCCAAAATGGTATGATTAAAAAATCAGCATCCTACCTTGATTTTAAGTACTTGCCCCAAAAATGTAGAAACCCGTCAATGACGGGCGGATTTTTGGTAATGTCAATTTGGTAATGACAATTTGGTAATGAAAATTTGGTAAGGCGACAATTTGGTAACGACAATTTGGTAATGACAATTTGGTAAGCTCACAAAAGTGACAATTTGGTAAGGACAAATTGGTAACTACAAAAAAGTGACAATTTGGCAATGACAAATTGGTAACGTCATAAAAGTGACAATTTGGTAATGACAATATGGTATCTACAAAAAAGTGACAATTTGGTAATACATTTTGGTAACTACTAAAAAGTGACAATTTGTTGATAAAAGTTAAATTTAATTCAATTTAATGTTTAATAATGTGCTGTTTCTCTCATTATTTTGGGTTAGGTTAGGTTAAGACAATTTCTGGGCCGAGCGCTGCGGCTAGAATGGGCTAGGGGGCCGAGTGCTGCGGCCTATTAAATGTTAAATAATGTGCTGTCTCTCAATATTTTGGGTTAGGTTAGGTTAGGTTGAAACAATTTATGGGCCGAGAGCTGCGGCTAGGGTGGGCTAGGGGGCCGAGCGCTGCGGGCTATTAAATGTTAAATAATGTGCTGTTTCTCACATTATTTTGGGTTAGGTTAGGTTAAGACAATTTATGGGCCGAGAGCTGCGGCTAGGGTGGGCTAGGGGCCAAGCGCTGCGGGCTATTAAATGTTAAATAATGTGCTGTTTCTCACAATATTTTGGGTTAAGTTAGGTTAAGACAATTTCTGGGAAGGTAACTACATATAAAAAGTAACATTGATAACTTCCTAACATTGACATACATAAAGTCCGTTCTTGTTGTAGTATTTGAGTCCTTCTGAATCTTGTAACATTTTGCCACCCCTAGAAGGGGTGATGAATAAGTAATTCATGATCCAAGTCTCCTCTTCTTGCAGTATATGACACAAGTGCAGGTTGAAACGTGGTTTTTAGAAAATATTGCGAATTTTACAATTATTTTAACGCATTTCTTTTGTGCAGAAATAAAAGATTCCTAGAATCAATTATCTTCAATTGAATATAAAACTAAAAATTAAACAATTTTACATAATGTCACTTTTATTTCGTTTACCAAATTGTCACTTTTATGACGTTACCAAATTTGTATTACTAAATTGTCACTTTTTTGTGGTTACCAATTTGTCATTACCAAATTGCCACTTTTGTGAGCTTACCAAATTGTCATTACCAAATTGTCACTTTTGTGAGCTTACTAAATTGTCATTACCAAATCGTCGTTACCAAAATGTCACCTTACCAAATTGTCATTACCAAATTGTCACTACCAAATTGTCATTACCAAATTGACATTACCAAAAATCCGCCCATCCCATCAATCAATCATTCAGATTTTTTTTTGCTTGGAAACATATGTGGCTCACACCTTTTTATGTCTAGATAGGATCCAATTTTTTTTAATGTGTTCTAGACATTCTTATCTCTCATATTATGCGTAGGAAGAAAGTGTAATAATCAAAATTATTGTTATAATATTAAAAGAAAAACCGTGGAATAATTAAAATTATTAAAATTATGGCATGCTCTTTTTAAATAGAAGGTCACTTGAGATATCTGCGCCAGTCCCTTTAAATTTGTTCCAGGACTGACCTAATACGTCACAATTTAAAGTTTATTGCAAAACAAGTCCTAATTCTACCCTTAGTTGAATTACAACTTGGAAGACTAAGCTTCATAAGTTAGAGTTTTGGTAATACAAATTCCTGCTGTTTGTGATTATACAGATGGGTATCGTTTTGAGGTCCATTTTTACACTTTTTAGAGGCTTCACAAGAATCTGAGTTGTAAATCCTATTTATTGACGTATAAATGGGTCAAGCACTTGCGTCAAAAATCCCGAAATGTCTCAAATCGATGGCCATCAGTAAATTGTGTAGGAATGAAATCTAATGCGTTTTCTTAATTGTAACTTTGATCTTTGATCAGGGCAATTTGATATTATTGATTATTTTTATAAAATCCCTGAAAAAGTGTAGATACTTATTAAGTCTAAACATAATTTAATGGACTTTTGGAAAAATAGCAGGAGTGTGTAAAATGCTAAGAATCACAATTTAATGAATTGCGCAAAAAAGAAAAAGAAAATGGACTTCACAAGGCAAGATTTTTCATCCTTTTTAATAGTTTCTCAAAATAATCGTTCATTTCCCTATAAACCATTTGTTTTTCAAAATTCAGCAAAGAAAGCCCCGACAAATTTTTTTGCGCCCCACTTTAACATACCTAACTTCGGGATTGGGTGGGGGGTATTATTTTTTCGTGGAAAAACACCCCTATAACATACGCTTTTGTTTGTGCAATGTAGACCAATACAAAAAAAAACAAAGAATCTTAAAAAAGCTTCTCTTTAATTACTAGTAAACTTTCGAGAGAAAAAACTCAATAATAATCAAAACTTAACAAAACAGTCGTCTTCATTCTATTAATTTATTCGCCGACCACTGTAGGACACGGTTGCTGAGAACTTCATTGAATTTTCTGATTCTGAAAACCATCCTAGTTTCCTTACTCCGGCAAGCTCGGGTGAGAAACATTTATTTACTAGTAAAAAAAAAAAAAAAAAAAAAAAAAAATCGAAACACTTTTTATTTTGGATAGATATTGTAAGCTTTAAAAAAAAACAGAAACAAATTTTTAAGTTGATTTTAATTTATTTAATTTCTAAAAATATCATAAATTTTTGGGAAAAATTTCGGGAACCAATCAAAACTTTTTAGCACGGTGCTAATAATATACAGCTAATTTAACATTATAGCACAGTGCTATAATATAGACCTAGTTGAACTTTAAAGCACGATGATTACTTTATAGTATACGTCGATAATGAAATTCACCATGAAGTGAGTATGAATGATAAAGTACACAATAGTTTCATAACTTGCTATAAAGTTTTCGGACTTGCCTTTATATCTCAAAGGTTATCGCATTTTTGGATTATATTTTGTCCCGAGCTTGAGCTTGAGCTTATTCTTGAACCTTCTTGATAAAATGAAAATATCTGTCCAAAAACTTTATAGCTCTGAGAACCAAAATAATAGTGTTATAATTGTATTATTACACCGTTCGAAAGATATTTTGATTGCAAAAGCGAAGACATTTTATTTCTTAATTTTTTTAGTGTTTACAAGTGGTGTGTACTCTAGTTCTATTAATCAGTTTAGCTCACCTACTTCCCTTTATGCAGGTTTGTTTTGTTAAAGGAATTATTATAGTTATTTAGACCAACTCTTATTGGCGATTCATTTAACGATAATCAAACCTACACTCTACAGGGTTACCCACAAAGGATGAAACTGTAAAGACAACGTAAAACTAAAACCTTTCAATTATGCCGATCTCAAGCTCAAATTAGGTCGCCTGCATTGAATGCGGTTTTTTAATTGCTTATTTAATGATTTTGCAAAGGAAGAGATAAGTTTACAGTTCCAATGGCTCGTGAAAAGAAAAAAACAGATAGTATAAATTCCGAACAGAAGTCTCTGAAGTCTCATCTTTCTTTTGTGGGTAATACTGTAGATCTATGATGAACAATGGCAGAAACTTAATTAATCCTCAACTCTCAGATATTTCTTAGCTTTTTTCGTCCTTGAGTCCGCGAGGGAATTAAAAACAAAAGACATAGAAAAAGACAATTCATTATTAGAATATTTTTTTGAATTTTATGAATCTCGAGTAGTTTGTTCAATTTTGGAATCTCGAGTAGCTTGTTTAATTTTAGCAATCTCGAGTGTAGTTTGTTTAATTTTAGGAATCTCGAGTAGTTTGTTTAATTTTAGGAATCTCGAGTAGTTTGTTTAATTTTAGGAATCTCGAGTAGTTTGTTTAATTTTAGGAATCTCGAGTAGTTTGTTTAATTTTAGGAATCTCGAGTAGTTTGTTTAATTTTAGGAATCTCGAGTAGTTTGTTTAATTTTAGGAATCTCGAGTAGTTTGTTTAATTTTAGGAATCTCGAGTAGTTTGTTTAATTTTAGGAATCTCGAGTAGTTTGTTTAATTTTAGGAATCTCGAGTAGTTTGTTTAATTTTAGGAATCTCGAGTAGTTTGTTTAATTTTAGGAATCTCGAGTAGTTTGTTTAATTTTAGGAATCTCGAGTAGTTTGTTTAATTTTAGGAATCTCGAGTAGTTTGTTTAATTTTAGGAATCTCGAGTAGTTTGTTTAATTTTAGGAATCTCGAGTAGTTTGTTTAATTTTAGGAATCTCGAGTAGTTTGTTTAATTTTAGGAATCTCGAGTAGTTTGTTTAATTTTAGGAATCTCGAGTAGTTTGTTTAATTTTAGGAATCNGTATATATATGAATATATATATATAAATATATATATAACTATTTATATGTTTATATTGTAGATACTGTTGTTTACACCTCTAGTAACCAATTTACTGACGCAGTACACAGTCCAGTGTACCATGATGGATTTACTCAAGATATTAGTGTGCAGGTATAAGACATCAAAAACCAATTTATTTTTAAGACATTGACTAAAATTCTAACGTTCTTTTTAGTATGTCAACACCATGGGTTCCCATATATACAAATATATAATGAGCCTTCGCTTTATAATATATAACTAGCTTGAGAACCCAGCGTTGCCCAGGGGTACTCAATTACTTATAGTTGCTCCTGCCATTTATTTCGCTTGGTTGTAAATTACGTAAATTACGTAAATTTCGTAAACTACGTAAATTACATAAATTACGAGTCAAATTATTATTCCTATTAAAGGGACTCCCTCAACTTAGAATCTCAAAAACAAGCTAAGACAATTTCCGTGGTTCTTCCGAGTTCCCCAATTAAAATTGGAGGCAATTCGATCAAGTTAAGGGGTTCCCGAGTTTTGGTCGGAGAGACAAACAGAGATTTCAACTATGTGTAGAATATAGGTATAGATTTCTAACTGATTGATTGATATTGTTAGGAGCTGGACTGTATAAACCTGCAACCAAGTTCAGATCTAAATATTCCTCTTTTCTCAGCCCATACCCTGGAGGAAATTAGGTGATTGGTTGGTTGGTTGGTTAAATGGTTGATAGATGAATTGGTTGGTTGGTTTGTTGGTTGGTTGGTTGGTTGGTTGGTTTGTTGGTTGGTTTGTTGGTTGGTTGGTTGGTTGGTTGGTTGGTTGGTTGGTTGGTTGGTTGGTTGGTTGGTTGGTTGGTTGGTTGGTTGGTTGGTTGGTTGGTTGGTTGGTTGGTTGGTTGGTTGGTTGGTTGGTTGGTTGGTTGGTTGGTTGGTTGGTTGGTTGGTTGGTTGGTTGGTTGGTTGGTTGGTTGGTTGGTTGGTTGGTTGGTTGGTTGGTTGGTTGGTTGGTTGGTTGGTTGGTTGGTTGGTTGGTTGGTTGGTTGGTTGGTTGGTTGGTTGGTTGGTTGGTTGGTTGNAAGAAGATGCTTGTATTATTCTTCCTGAATTCAGTTCTCAGGAGGTTCAAGAGTTCCTTGCGGTTATATATCTTCTTACTCCTCACCTCAACCCATCATTTAATATGTTTATCAGGTACCCCCTTCACCTGAACCCATCATTTAATATGTTTATTAGGTACCCCTTCACCTCAACCCATCATTTAATATGTTTATCAGGTAGCCCCTTCACCTGAACCCATCATTTAATATGTTTATTAGGTACCTCCTTCACCTCAACCCATCATTTGAAATGTTTATCAGGTAGCCCCTTCACCTCAACCCATCATTTTCATATGTGTATCAGGTTGTCCCTTCACCTCAACCCATCATTTAATATGTTTATCAGGTACCCCCTTCACCTGAACCCATCATTTAATATGTTTACTAGAGTCTAGACCTATCCTTATTATTTTAGGAAAAGTAAACGTTTTTTTCTTTTCGTGTTTACTAAATACAGGGTCATTCAATCTTGAACAGAATTTATTCATTGCATTCGCCTTGAACTATTAATTTAACTTTATTCTGTATTTGTGGATTTCTATATTTAGATGTTTGACTGGATCAAACGGGTTCAATCTCAGCAAGGAGGTTAAAGGAGAAGAAACCGGTTCAAAGCATGATAGATCTAAAAGGTAAGCATATTTAAACGAAAAATTACCCAGCTTTATTAATTATAGTCACCTTAATTCCTATTTTTTGGTTTCAATGGTTTAAATTAACTTTTGAACAAAATGGGGCCGGAGGGGAGGTGAGGGGGAAGAGGAGAGGTAGGTTAAAGTTTATTTCTGTAGATTTGCTTAAAGTAGGAATAATATTTGAATCCTGCTAAGTTTGTTAGCTTCTGCAAAGAGAACGATTTTTAAGAATATCAGGATTGGTTAATTCCAATATTTTGCTTATCTGGAGGTAGGAAGTTGTGAAGTAACGGATCTGGTTTCTAATTAGAACATTAATATTTAAAATATTTTTAGTTTTAACGTAATTATAAACATCCAACTAAGTTTCCCCAGATTACCCTCCTAGGAAGCTGGAGGTTAAGCTTGAGGAGCTAGAACAAGAGAACAAGAAGTACAAGATGAAGAGTGGAGATGAGGAGAAGGGCGACCTTGATGAAGAACGGGAGGATGAGGAGGGAGGGGACAAAGCAAATCAGGATAGAAAACCAGGTTTGTGAGTATTTGAATTTATATTATTGAAGCTATGGAAAATTGTAAATTTACCCCAAGAAAACATTTTAGTTATTTAGAAAAATTTGAGATTTAATAATGATAATGAATAATAATGATTATAATGATAATAATGATAATAATGATAATAATGATAATAATGATAATAATGATAATAATGATAATGATGATAATGATGATAATAATGATAATAATGATAATAATGATAATAATGATAATAATGATAATAATGATAATAATGATAATAATGATAATACTGATAATACTGATAATACTGATAATAATGATAATAATGATAATTGATAATAATGATAATAATGATAATAATGATGTGAATTTAGAGACTATGACCTCTGTAGAGGTTAAGACTGAGGAAAAGCAGAAGAGTTCAAAGGAAAAAGCTCTTTCTTCAAAAATGGAAATTTTAATTCCGCATTATGTTAACATCAAATATGGCTTCCAAACAAGAAAAAATAAGGATATCTTTAATCAGGCACATATTTAAAGAACAAAGTTGTAATCAACAGATTTTACTTAACAAATGCAGGATCGATTAAAGCTACGTTTACAGTTTACTAAATAAACTTTGTGTTTTTTTATTTTCAAAAGATTTGAACGCCCTGGTGAGATATGAAGACCTTTTAATAAATTATTAAACGGGGAAAGTTTTTTTTTCCCATAAAATACTTTTTCTCTTTAATTCCGGAATAAAACCCTAAAAAATGCGTTTCCCACAAACGTTGAAGGGGGGGGGGTAATATACCCGCCATGCTTATAACAACACTAGCCATTACCTTTTAATTGTACAAAAAGAACTTCACCTACTACGTTCAGGGACCCTTCACCTGTGAAAAGTGTGGGAAAGTGTTTAAAGAACGAAGAGTGTTAAAGGAACATGAAAATTTACATTCGGAGCCCAAGGTAATAAATACATCCATGGGCTTTCAATCTCGGTGTAAGGTACACTTTCCCGAATACTATTTTCCAAATCCACAGCTTTCTAACTGTAAAACTTCCGAATTGGACATTCCCAAACAGGGGCGGATACAGGATTTAAGTGAGGGGGGTGCTAGATTTATTTCGGAACAAAAACATCCAGATTGAACAAAAAAAAAATTTAAGATAGATTTTTTCCTGTTTTGCACTAGGTTTTCTTTCTCTTAAGTGCTATTGAAGAGCTATAAAATCTCAGGAGGAATAAAAGGGCCAAAGTTCTACATTTAGGGACTACAATTGTTTTCTTGTGCAATTTTAATGATGTATGTTTGGAACGAAATTCAAATAACCATTTTTTAGTTTGAATGTATGGAAGGCTGTGGAAAAAAATTTCACACAAAATCCAATATGCGCGTGCACGCCGATGTTGTGCATTTAAAGAAGAAAAATATTCCCTGTGAGATCTGCGGGAAAATGTTCTACAATGTTAGTCTTCTGAAAGTGCACAAGGTGAAATTGACAAACTAACAAAATCTCTTTAAGCGTAATTTTAAGTGACTTTTATTTAATGAGGGACCTCCCCGATTCACAATGGTACCTTAGACATATCCTCCTTAATCTGTTAAAAAGCTTTTAATTGTTCAACATTTTCTTTTGCAATCTGTTATACATTAGAAATATCAATAATTACTTTCTTGAAGTGGCAGAAAATTAATATTTACTTTCAAATGTTCGAAAACTGTTTTTAACATTAAAAGATAATATTTTTTCTGGACGTTAGTAACGTATCAGTTGTTTCGATTCTACGCTGTACACTGCGCACTTCGGAATTTTTAAGAATACACAGAGATCTCTGTACTCGATGAACACACAGCGTTGTAAATCCGGAATTGATTTTTTTTGCAAGAAGGATCACTTGAAATTACGCTTACAGTCTCTTAACTAAAAACTGTTTTTATTATTAAATATTTTAAACTTGCTACCTTCAGTTATTTTGCTTTCTGGCTCAAATTGTGGCTGTTTCAGTTTTTTCGTTATTTTTTTTTATATATAGGGTGACCCCAAAAAAACAAGGATTAGGGTTTTTAAGTCTCAATAATCTTTGAAAGAAATTACTCGAAAAAGTGTCCCAGTATTTAGTTTTTAATTTTAGAAGAAGAAGACAATTTAACAATGCTTAGAAATCATATTAATGAATACTTAGGAGGCTCCGATTTAAAGCCATGCAAAAAACGACCTATTTCCAAGGTCCATCAAAGCTGTTCCAACCATGGGGCTGGGATTTCTGCAACCTATCTTTTATAAGTTTCTCTTCATAGAGTTCTGGGTATAGGACTACGTATACACCTTTGATTTAAGAAAGCCATGAAGAATTATCTAAGGGGTTTAGATAGATGTCAATGATTTTTTTCGTATCTTAAGCAATACTGGTTATCTAAAGTTAACAGAGAAATTTTCGAATATTCGACATAGTTTTACACCAAAGGAAAAGATTGGAAGATAAAAACTTAATTAATGACCCCTTCTAAGATTAAAAACTACATACTGGGGCACATTTATTGATTCTTTTCTAACGATTAAAAGGGCTAAAAATCCTTGTCCGCGTTTTTGGGTCACCCTGTATTTAAAATGTTTATAGGAGACGCATAGTGCTTATAAGTTGACCTGCCGCCACTGTCCCGCCACTTTCTCAGCATCCAAGACACTTAGGAACCATATAAGGTAATATACAGTTTAACCAAGAATTTTGTAGAAATCGAAAGAATTTATAAAATGTCTTGACAATTTTTAAATTTTGAAAAAAATTTTAAGGCACATACTTTCAATTCCAACCATCCATAAACCTTCCCTGGGATAGTGCGAGGTCCCACAAAAAATGTGAACCCAATCGGTTCAGCCGTTTTGACGTTTTACTGTTACAAAAAACAGATGTCGAAGACTTTTTGTAACTCTGAATCCTGCTGTATCAAATAAAAATCAAAACAAAAGGTTTTCCACTGCATCGGTTTGCAAAGAAAAGGGAATTAGGCAACGCGTCTGAGGATTGGTCAATTAAAAAGAAAAAAAGACACTGTTCTGTCTGTTAAATTAGTTCCAGTCATATTTTATTAATAGCCAAGAATATTTTAGGACAAAACACACCACCGAGGAGAATGTTCCAAAATGTTATATTTGTCATAAAAGTCTGGCAAGTGATCTGGTTCTTCGAAATCATATTGCCAGGTAACAGATTACAGGGGTACATCTTTTATTGAAAAGTCTGGCAAGTGATCTGGTTCTTCGAAATCATATTGCCAGGTAACAGATTACAGGGGTACATCTTTTATTGAAAAGTCTAACTAGTGATCTGTAGTTCCTCTTACTATAGAAATAATGAAGAAAATTCAACACATTTAAAAATTGAAAAATTGCGTAATCTTTCTAATTGATTGTGAGCTAAAGGGTACCGTTGTGAATCGGACATGCTACGCTATAAATGAAATTACACTTGAAATGTCTATAGAACCTTAATTGTAAGGAATAATAATAAAATTGTGGAAAGTATCATAAAGTAAAAAGTTGAAATCCCATTTCTTTAGAATAATCATTAAACAATTGTTTTGGGTAATATAGGAAAATATTTTTATTTTTTGTTACATCTTTAAAATTTGTTTTTTAGAGTTCACTTTCACGAGAAGAACTGCGTGTGTGCTCACTGCGGTAAATCATTCTTTGAGAAGTCAGAGTTAAATTCACATCTAGCAACCCATAACCCTAGTCAAAATGTAACATGTGAGGTAAAATAATCTAATATTTATTCAATCAATCAATCATTTAAAAAGTTAGCCATCAATCAATCACTAAAAAGTTAACAATCAATCAATCACTTAATCTATGAACTAAGAGTTAAATTCGCATATACTACATACAGGGTGTCCCAAAAAACATGGGAATTCAGTGACGAATTCGATATCGTCTTTGTTATGAATTAGCAGTGTAATACCTAATGTCAAAAGCCATAATATTATTTTGTCTGTTAGAGTTTATTTTATGAAAAGGGTAAAAGACTGTAAAGATGTGTCCATAATGTCTCCGCAATATGAATAGTGAAGACAGACAAGTTTACTCTGTTTGTATTCTGCAATTTTCTTGTTTTACTAAGTACAACCGTATGCAGTCAAAACATAAACAAACAAAATGTGAACATAGCAGACGAAACTCTTACAGATTACAGCTTTCTTAGTAGGTATCACTATACTAAATCAAAGAATTATTTAAAAAGACAATAATTCCCATGTTTATTAACTCATAACTGTAACTCATAACCCTAGTTAAAATATAATATGTGATATATAATAATCTAGTATTTATTCATCAATTAGTTAGGAAAAACAATTAATTATGAATAAAAATAAAAATAAAATTCACATCTAGCAACATATATCCCTAGTTAAAATATAATATGTGAGGTATATAAATCCTATTCAATCAATCCAGTTAAGAAATGCATGCAATCAATCAATCAATTAATTCTTGATCAGTTTATTACATGGTTTGTTATGATTGATTTAATGATTTAATTGATGAATTGATTCAGCAAATTGACTTTCAATTTAGACGTCCTAAAAGTTTAATTTAATTTGAATCAATCTTTGAACAGTTGGTGGCAATTATTAGTGAATTTATTGATCTATTGATAGCGTAATTTTAAATGACCCTTCATGCGTAAAAATAGCAATGCCCAATTTATAACAGTACCCTTGAAACCTTTACCTGATCAAAAAATGTGAAATTTAACGTCAATTTTCTGTAAATTTGCGCAAAAAAAATTAAGTTAACAAAAACATGCATATCAAATTCATATTTAATGAGACAAAGCATTTAAGATTACCGTTGTAAATCGGGTATTGCTATTTTCGCATGGAGGGTCACTTGAAATTAAGCTTACTGTTCCTTTAATTGATAGATTTCTTTCTGTTAGATCTGCTCTGCCAGGTTTAAGAACAAGAGAAACCTCTCCTCTCATATGAAGAGCAAGCACGGGGATGCTGAGAGGAAACATGTTTGTGATCTTTGCGGGAAATCTTTCTTCAAGACATACCATCTTAACAGGTTTCACCATGGACCTGAGTCTATTGTAACAGAGTCTGTAGAAGACGACATACTATTCTTAGCTAGGTTTAATAAGCTTAAAGCTAATGTTAACCTTAAATCTAGTTTCTGAGACAAAAAAGAATTGGTTGATTTATGTTCACATAAAGAATGAAACATAATTTTTAAGATACTTACATGTAAGTGCGTGCGCGCTGAGATTTAATTTATTTTGCTTTCAAACTAATAAAAATAAGCCCCAGCAAGATTGTTATTTCAAAAAATTTCTTATTAATATTTATTACTAAATATCAAAGAATAAAGAAGAAAACAATGTCGTCTTTTACTCGTATTCTGCAAGACATTCATATATATGTAGCGTATAGCCGGCCATACGGCTGGACCGAATGGGCTGAAATTTTTGGTGGACACTCATATAGGTGGCTTCAAAATTTTGTTTTCAAATTTTGTTTTCAAATTTTTTTTACGGGCAACGCCGGGCCCTTCAGCTAGTTTAACATATAGAAGGTTTCGAAAAGAAGACTTGTCTTCAACCTGACACTTTGACGGATATTGATTGTCAGAAACAGAAAACTTATTTTTAAGACACCGATAGGCTATGGGCATAAATAGACAGCTTGTTTTTTAGACATATGGAAGAACATAAAACTTTTATAGACATAGGGAATATGGAGGATCCTTAAACTTTCTCTTTTAGACATATGGATGGGTATAATTATAAGTATAAAAAAGAAACTTGTAGTTTCTAGACATATAGATGGACACAGAGAAAAGCTTTTTAAAACACATGGATGTTCATAAACAGAAAATTTGTAGTTTCTATAATCTACATACATGGAATATGGATGAAAATCTAGAGAACTTTTTTTTAGACATGGATGAGTATGTATAAACATTGGCATAAAACTTGTAGATTCTAGAGATATGGATTATGAATGGACTGGACACATATAAAAACTTTATTTTAGACATTTGGATGGGCATAAACAGAAAACTTGTTTCTGTAAAATTTGCGAAAAAGGATTTGGATCCGAAGCAAAAGTTCGCGAACATCACAGAAAAGTTCATGAGCGGAAAGCCAAAAAGGTAAAAAATTACTATTTTAATAAACACATAAAAACCCTTTCAACATTCTAAAAAATTTCTGTTCAGAAGTTGATGAAATGTGATCATAGAAACAAATTTACCCCCCCCCC